CTAGATTATCAGAGAAGCGCGACCGGCTTATGGCAGTATCGCAAAAGTACTAGAAAATATTAAAATTGGCGTCGAATGGCCAATCATAAGTTTGATTTATTCGGCAGCCATTTATAATAGCGATAAATCAATCTTATGATTGGCCATTTGCGTGTCCAATCAGGACTCGTAACACCGGTCGCGCTTCTCTGATAATCTAGGACTCTAGGCACCCTCAGTCGACGACGTGCTTTACGCATGATCGGTATGATCACAACGCTCATGTTGGCAGGATTTAATTGATTTTCTACGGTTTTCAACACTGTGAACAATTATTAATTTGAATTGGTGTCGCGATTGGCGCATTCATTTTGAACGAGAACGTGGTTATGTGCGTTTCTTCGGCGCGAGGCCTTCGTGATCCACCTAACCTGCGTTGTTAACAATTGGTGAGTTATGAATAAAAGTAAAAACTGAATATTATCTTCTAAATGTATTCTCTTGCAGCACGTGAACGGCGTATTTTGCTGAGAAGCCTGTTGTATGTCCTTCTGAGAATACAATGGTGATGGAGGAATCAGATATGGAATTAGCCTCGGAAAGTATACCGGTTCCCCAGGTACAGGAGCCAATAGTCGATACAGTTAAACGTAATAACAAGTCGGGCGTTTCGCGTGGTAAACCAAGGCTGAGGAAGAAAGCGTTGCACGCCTCGATACTTAGGCAAATGGAGTTTTATTTCAGCGACGCTAATTTGAACAAGGATCGCTACCTGTCGGGACTCTTAAAGGAAGATCCATGTAAGCACTCCTTTCTTGCGTTTTTGTTCCAAGCTTAAGATCATAAGATTTTTACATATTTTTATTTAATCATAACAATTGTACAATATCTCACCTTTAAATCTTAAATTAAAGGATGTTAAAATACTGGCTGTAATTATGCCTCGTTGTCTTTCAGATGTGGATCTTGAAATATTCACTAGATTTAATAAGCTGCGCGAGCTGACCACAGACACGAGCAGGATAGCTAAGGCTCTGCAGGGCTCAGCTATATTGAAAGTATCGGAGGATGGTACAAAGGTCTGTCGATTAACACCGATTCAGAAGAAGGAGAACATCGACCAGTGCACAATTTATGTGCAAAACCTACCTCCGGATGCTGATCACGACTGGTTGATATCTATCTTCTCTAAATACGGATCAGTAGAATACGTCTCGATTCCACGTTACAAGAGCAACAAGAAGATAAAAGGGTTTGCATTTGTGGAATTTGATACACCCAACAGTGCTCAAGAGTGCATCAAGGTAAGAGAAATAGTTAATGGATGCTAAATATATCACTAAATAATTGCAAATGTGAGACATAATAGTTACTTTTATAATTTGATAACATAGTTTAACATTTCACTTTACAGACATTTCGAAAAAAGAGATGTGTCTTGCCATCATATATATCTCCCAATGAGTTATTAAGTATAACGACGTTTGACGAACCTGAAAAAGATGCAGTGATTGGAGTAATTAGTTCAAAGTCTAGGACAAAATCGAAAGATGAAAAAGATAAGGCCAATGAAGAAATGGGAAATAAAGATAACTCGCGCGAAACAGATATAGGAGATAATAATAGCAAACAAAGTTTAAAAAAAAAAAATATTCTTCTGACAAATCATTTTCTACAGACGAGAACGATGTTAAGGGTAAGAAAAAGAAAAGGGAAACTGATCAAAATATAACAGATCAGCAAGATGAAAGAAGAAAAGTATCCAAATCTGAGTCTGAAGACCAGGATAATACATGTGATAATGAAACAGATGCAGCAGATAATACTAGACAAAGAAAAAGAAAATATTCAGAAAAATCGTTCGTTACTGACGAAAGCGACGTTAAAGTCAAAAAGAAGAAAAAAGAAGTGAACCTAAGCACGACGGATCAGCAGAATGAAAAAGAAAAGATACCAAAAGAAGACAAGGATAATGTCTGTGATGACGAGACAGATGCAGCAAATGATAGTAGACAAGGTATGAAAAAAGAAAAATATGTTGCAGATGAGAATGATATTAAAGTCAAGAGAAAGAGAAAAACCTCAGATCAAAATATGACAGGTCAGCAGAATGAAAAAGAAAAGATGCCAAAGGAAGAATCCGAAGACAAGAATAATACTTACGATAACGAAACAGATACAGCAGATAATAATGATCGACAAAGCTTAAGAAAAAGAAAGCTTTCAGAAAAATTATATACTAAAGACGAAAGGGATAGCAAAGTCACTGAAAGTAATACAGAAAGTCAAGAGATTTCGAACAAAAGTCGCAACAAAAGCACAGAGAAAAGGAAGAGAAGACATACGATAAACGATACAATGATTGCGGAAGACGTCGTTGGAGAAGCAGTAAAGAAAGAATGCCAAAAACCGGCGACAAATTCGAGTAAAAACAAAACGACAGAATTAGGATGTTCATACGAGGGCGACGAGAGCAACGAGACAAATGCTTTGTTGCAAACTGAGAAACATTCCACAAGCGATTGCGGCATGAGGAATAGCGATATCGAGGAGACCAGTGCCGACGAGAGGAAGAAGAAGAAAAATCGGAAGAAGAGAAGTAAGGTTCAGGAGAACGATATCTGTAGTAAGATAGGCTTGCAAATAATGGCGAAACCAGATTGGAAGCGTCTTAGAAATAGATACTTGGATTTGCAGCGGCATAAAATGTCACAACTGAAAGTGCACTTGAGAAAAGCTGAGGTGGACAGAGGCGGAATTATAAAAAATGGATACCACGATAAAGCTGGAGGACAGAATAGTACATTGCATGATAAACCGAAATACGAAAGCGACAATGGGAAACTCGAGGAAGAGAACAAGTCTTGCGGACGCGTTAATTATGCGCCGGGAATTATAGTGAAAATCGAAATGGATGAACCTTGCACAAATCCGCAGAGCTTTAAGGTACATTGATATTATTAGAAAAAAAGATCGTTTTTACATATTAAATTATTTTTATTTATTAAAATTATATTGCACCTTTAACCAGAATTCCATAAATCAAGGTGTTATATGCCAAATATTTAATTTCAGATGGAGTTAAGAGACAACAATTCGGTGAAATATATAGATGTGGCGGCTGATTCTTGCGAAGCCTATGTAAGATGCGATACAGCGGAAGCTGCGCAAACATTTGCACAGGGGAGCTACGAAGGAAGACGCTTGATTGTCTTAGAAGGTAAATATCTTGCATATTGCGAATAATATAATATTCGTTATCTATCGTTATTAAATTTTTTGTGCCAATTTTCTAGGTGATGAAGAGAAGTTGTATTGGGATAAAATATCGGAGGATAGGATGGAAAAGTTGAGTAAAAAGAAAAGAGTCAAGCAAAGAGGCCGTCATAAGTTGCTGAAACGAGCGGAGAAAGAACTTGGAAAATGTATAAAGTTTGATCAAGATTGACTTACGGTATTCGATTTTGTATAAAATTTTAAATATATAACACGTTATATATTTAAATACACGTTATATGTGTACATATATGCACGTACATGTATGTAAATAACGGTATCGCTATATTTGAAGTGTCATTAAAGAAAATTTGATGATAAAATTAGTTGAATAAATTACATAAAATATTTGCTTCTTTGCTATTTATCAATATATTGCAAAGTAATCTAATACATTAACATGTTGATTTTAGAGTTTAAGATATTATGAGTGATTAGTTTAAATTTTAGTTTAAATAAAATGCTTCTTTACGAGAAAATTTATATAAATATAAATTTTCTAGTTAAAACTAGATTTAAAAGAATATAATTATTTCATTTTAAATTTTGTGTATAGGTTATGTATTAAAGTAAGGAATATTAGGATTTTGAGCATGAAATTTTGGGAATTTTTAATAAAATTGGTATGATTAGATATTAGGAATTCTTTTCATAATTATTTAATTTAACAATTAAAATTTTTATAATTATACATATACAGATTCTACCATCTCCCTCTGCCTCCTCCTCCGCGACCACCTGAATTGGGACGATTGAATCCACCGCCTCCTCCACGACCTCTGAATCCTCCACTGCCGCCTCTGTTACCGAAGCCGCCGAAGCCGCCGCCGCCTCCTCTTCCAAAGGATCCCCTGCTGCCGCCTCTACCAAAACCTCCTCCTCCTCTACCTCCTCTTTTCATGACCCTGCCAGGACCACCGCCTCGCTTCTGTTCTCCAGGAGGTCTTGGTAAGAATCTCTGAAGAGGCAACAGCTTTGCTGGATCGATAAACAACTGTAATCAACAGACAATAATAACGTATGTTATAACATATATATATATAAAACGTGCATATAAAATTCATATACGAATGTTTATGAAGGCATGCGTGACTTTGCAACAATTGACTTGCAATCAATGGGTTCGATCCTGATGTATGTCTCATGCTCACGTTTCGATTTTATAAGAAATTGAAAATTAGAGTTGTAAGTAAAGGAAATGACAATAGCAACCTGAGATTCATTTCAATAAGATATATATATATATTTTTTTTTATCTAATTCTAATGCTGTAATACCTGTGCATCCTTTTGGAAGCTGGCGGCTTTCACGTTTTCCGATAACTTAACGGACACATAGTAGTCTCGAATGTTACCGAATATCTCGTCTATCTTCCCAATCTGTTGCTTGCTCTCTGTGTAAATCGGCGCATTAAAGAAGGGCACTTGTTCGATGTCGACTTTAAGAACCAAGTCGTTCTCCACCGTCCACGTGAAATGTCCCAACGGTGTCACCGTCTCTGGAGGTCCTTGATCGTACCTACGGTAAATTTGCAAGCGCAAAACACATTTTAATACCTCGGGAGTTTTACTTGCGATCTAACCTAATCTTTGACACAATTTGTCTGACGCATTTTACGTAGATAATAATTGCAATATTCGTGAAATTACCCTCTGCCCCTGTCGAAACCACCGCCACCGCCACCACGTCCCCTGAATCCTCCGCCTCCTCGGCCACCTCTAAAACCGCCGCCTCCCCGGCCGCCGCGTCCACGGAAAGACATAACCTTTCGGAGTTAACCTCTCTAAATGTCAACAACGGTTTCTACAATTATTACGCTGATTATGAGTGAAATTACTTCACTTGAAACTGGTGCTTCGTACACCTTTCATATTAATATTTTTTTTTACCTTAATTTGACGGAAAAAAACGAACGTATGTAAAGTATATATACTGGAATGCACCACGTGCGAGCGGTGCGAGTGAGTAAACGAGACAATTTTTTTGGAACTTTTCGCACGCATGCGTAGTATGTACTACATCACGTGACCAAATCCAAATTGAAGCAAATAGGAGATTAAAAAGGAGGGAACGCACGTATGTATATAGTACAGTTAGATCGGTTGTTATTAAAACACTTTTTTTTTATAGGTTTCTAATATATATTATATAGGTAACTAATATTTTGCAAGTGCGAACCACGATATATTATCTTTAGTCTAGAGACAGTATAATAACACCAATCGTGGTTCACATTTGCAAAAAATTAGTGCGTTTTCGAAACCTATAAAAAAAAATGTCGCAAACTTTATGTGCACGAGTGGCACGAGTAAATTTATGGAAAATAATAAAAAGATTTTGATAAATTTTTACAATGAGATATGTCAGCAATTGCACCAGAATAATCATATCAAAATGTATTTATATATATTTATTTTAACACCGCGCGCAAACAAATGGCACGAACGTTCAAGAATCGCGGACAGATCATAGGTTTAAAAAAAATACCTTTTGTTACTCGCGTTATAATTTTTTTTCCGATCCAAATACTAGATAATGTCAAAATTAAGATTCCAACAATTAAAATAACTCATTGATTTATTTGTATTTAACTTATTGCGAGCTTATAGTTTAATTGCAAATATCAAAATTTGTAATAACTAAAATTCAGTCGTTGTAATAAGTAAAATTCAGTTTCGCATAGCCTTTTTTTTACATCATTCTTATAACGTTGCAAGTCATTTTAATTGAGAAATTTAAAAATGTTAAATTTTTAAAAATTCCTAGGAAACCCTATAGACATTAAGTCTCGGGGATTCGGACTGTCAGGATCTTGCCGGATTCTGACAGAATTACTTAAGTACGCTTATCAAAAAATAGGTTTGAAAATAAACGGCGACGCGAGTTTTCTGGCACGTAGAGAATTGCGGATGAGTGGCGGGTTGAAGTAATCCTCGACGGGAATGTATTTCGGTCCACCGAAGGTATCCAGCATCGCGATTGTCGATATCCTCAATTCGGCCAAAAAGAATTTGTGGTCTGTGCAAATAAACAGCGCAATGTAATTTGACGTTCAACAATTTTTTAGATAATATACGGATGAGAGACTATATGTAGCGATATTACTTGCGGGCATGTTCTCCAGTTTCGGATGACGGGCGAAAAATAATTTCTTCACGAATTTTTGCAGGTCAGTCTCGTTTTTCAGCTGTTATTAAAACAACGAATACGTTTAAATTATGACAGATAAGTACAAAAGTAAAGCGGAATAAGCGCATTCTGGGGAGCACGATGTCAGTGCTTTATTTTTATTTTCAGTTTAATTGTTAGATATAAAACAAAAATGATATCATTCTTGTTTTATATCTATATCATTGCTGCATTGCATATGCAATAGCACTGATTACGCGCTCCTCGAACGCATCGAGTAAATGAATGATTTACTGACTGCAACAATCTTTCCAGTTAGGAGGACTCTAACGCATCGCGGATCCATTGGATCGTATCCTTTATCCTTACAATAGTTGCCTTGAGCTAATGATACCATCACAGTCGCACGATGATCTTTCTGTAACAGTTCCGAGTTAATGCGATTAATGCAATATAATCACGACAGAAATTTTAGATAGGTGAGTTAGATTATTTTAATAAAATTATATTTGATACAATTTTTTATATAATTATATTTTTTATTTATCTTCAGATTAAATAACAAAATTGTATGTAACTAAAGTTTTGGCTTATCTCTTGATTAAGACAGTCATCAAATTGTCATTAGTTATACAACGTGCATGATAAGACAGCAATCAAAAATTTTGATTACTGATAGCAATCAAAAATTTTTTTAATCATATACGTGATGCGATAATTAAAACGTGACATGATAGTGATAATTTTTCAAATTACATTTGTACAAATATAATAATAGTCATGTCATGCGCTCTTTTTAATTATTAATTGAACAGATGTAAGTTAAAAAATTATCGCTATTGTGTGACGTTTTGATATTATGCACGTGTATAAGTGTATAATGGAAAAATTTTGATTACTGCGACAGCAATCAAAAATTTTTTAAATTATGTAATACGCGTGACAGCAATTAAAACGTGACATGGTAGTGATAATTTTTCAAATTACATTTGTACAAATATAATAAGGATTGCTGCAAGTCAGAAAAGGTGTCACGCGCTCTTTTTATTAATTGAACAGATGTAAGTTAAAACATTATCGCTATTATGTGACGTTTTGATATTATGCACATGTATATTGTATAATAAAAAATTTTTGATTACCGACTTGTCAAAAGATAAGCCAATCCATACAGCACACTCCTCCAAAGAACGTCCTACAGACGTTCAGAATTCTAGAGACATTCTTAGGACGCGTAGGACGTTCTAAGGATGTCTCCAGGATAGCTCTCAGTGTGCTGTTTGAGAAAAATTTCATTTTATAGAATTTTGTCATTTGGCGTTCTCAAGAGATAAAAGACAAAGAGAGCTAAATATGTAATTATTAAATTTATCATGTTAGAATCTCTTTTTGTTACATTTCAACAGAATTATTGTTCTTCACATTTTTCAAACTCTTAAATTATAAATATTTTAGATAGTACAATGTGCAATATAACATCGCTCCTTTCCTACAACAACATAACTTAAAAAACGAAGTTTCTTATAAAATGAAATGAGTTTCAATGTTTTAATCATTAATATTTTGTAATATTAATTTTAAAATGCAATTTTAGTGTGACAACTGATTGTAAAAAAGAAAATATTTTTCTTTTTTTCTTTATGTTTCCGCTGGTTTTTTGTAAGCAAACAACATGAACATATTTTTTTAGTTATGTTGTGTAGTAAATGAACGATATACATAGTATAACTAAAGTTTTGGCTTATCTCTTGCTAAGACAGTCATCAAATTGTCATTAGTTATACAACGTGCATGATAAGACACAGCAATAACGTATATATACAGTATACGTTATACAGATGTGTAACGAATATGCCAATAATCAATTGTGATATCAATATACTATCACTACTACTTACAGAAAGATCTTGAGCGGTATAATCGAGAGGAGTGAGGTACATGTACGGTACTCCAGTACCGTTTCCAACAGGCCCGTCGGCGATGGAGATCAAATTTGCAACGGGAAAACTTTCAACATCCTTCCTTGTGCTTATCGTCGCTACGCTCGCCCAATCTGTTGATACATATTACATATATCCATGTGATACTGATGAGCGCGCAAAAAATAAGTGCATTAATGGTACATGAAGCGCCGAATTGAATTATTTTCGCAAAACTCATATCTTTTTTTTTCTATGCAACAAAATGATTAGAATTCTAATAGCGATTCTTTTCAGATGGATTCAAATATAATGGAGAACCAATCTCTTTGTTTCATTTCCTTTGTTCTCTTCTGGGAGACAATAGGATTATTCTTACGTTTATTATAATATTGGAGCGGTCTAATAAAACGGTCTTTTCATCGTGTTTACATTCGACACAACGACATTGATTATTTATTACTTGACACAATACAGTTAAATATGTGTCTGGCGCGAGATCAAAGTATGAGCTTTGCGACGGCAAACAGCTACGTATGTATATGTATATTGCAGTATATGCGCGTTTCAGCCGCGTGAGTGAGACGAGATAATAATAACACAACGCGAATGTTTGTTTAATCATCGCTATTTTTTTTCATCTTATTCTCAACTTTCGATGATTATCTCGACACGCATATCTTGATGAAATGACACATGCAAGTTGTGGAAATTTCCTTTCAGTTACATCTTTAATTAAATCCCAGGAAACTATTAGCGAATAAAAGCTGCACGCACGTGCGTGCGAAAACGCATGTGTATGCGCGTGTATTTGCACGTATCTCGCGTATTCGCGTATTTCGAAAATCTCTTTACGAACATATTAGCATATATTCTGTATGCTGATATATTCTACCTAAAATATCAGAATATATCAACATATGTAATTTATTGAATGATAAACTTTTTAGACGTAATATTATTATACTGTGTTACTTCATTCAACGTGAGAACTTGTTCGGTAGGTGCTATAATGATATCAGCGTTGATTACCAGCTTGATTAACGACGTATCTGGCCATTAAGGCAGGTACCGGTACATTCTGGATACGACTCGGCTTAGCGTCTCGATCGTCATCGAGCCCAATCGAACGCTTCGGGATCTCGATGGTTTTATACAGCTCCTTTGTCTCCTCACTGCTCCCTCGGATCTCATTCCAATAATTATCCTTCGCTCCATCGTCGAATTTGCGTGCGTCGCTCAGCAGAACGCACAGAGCGATAATGCTTACGATTCGCGACGTCATGGTATGCTATACGCGTTTCACAACAACTGCGACGGGTAATTGAAGCGAGACTGCTCAGCGATATTTCCCTCGAAGGTGAAGCTTGGGAGCAAGTGCGCCTTGCAAGTGGCTGATACTGACTGCGCGCGCTTTATGAACTTCATGATTTATGACGAGGCCGTCGAATGATTTTTACGACTTGCGCGGTGAGGACAGATTCGGAAGATCAGATTCCGGCGCAAGCGTATCGTTATCGCGCGATTCAGGAAATCGTGCGGCGGCAATGCAACGAGGTTTGAAAAAGATATCTCTGTTTGAACTTAATTTTTTCTTAATATCGCGTAATATCGTATCATTTCAAGCTCGCTATCGATATGAGAAAAGGCCAAGACGTGTCGAGGGAAAATCAACTTCAATTCGCGCCATCTGATGCATCCGGGCATTGCAGCCTCTGTATACAATACATTACGACTTCAGTTTTTGCGAGGTATGTTTCGCCAATTCCATAAACGATTGATGACAGATCTCGCTGCTCCCCAGGAAAGATAAACGAATCGTTCCCCTCTCCTGACGGCCTCACAAGAATTTTAGAAGACCGTTTGTGGCGCCTGGTTGTGGTGCAAGGTCGAAGAAACTGGTACGCCGGCCGCTGCGAGGCTCCGCTCGATGTGGGTCGTCGTCTAACTGTTCTACGTACCGTTTCTCCGCCCCTGACTCTGTATCCTTCGACAAGCAACAGCAGCAGCAGCAGCAGCAGCAACAGCGAGCGAACACCTACACGATGATATCCGTGTGTACACGATTATATCCCACGCTATACGTTACATCGTACGGTAATATTAGCGGCAGTGCGTGCATGATAGCGCGCGCACGTTCCTCTTACGCCTTTGTCGGAGAGGATCTGCCTCGTTGCTATCGAAAACTGCTGAAAGTCAATTGTCATTAAGTACACGCGAAATTTTATTACAAAACAAATGTCGCGCCTTTACCGTCCGAGTTTAACAAGATATTTTTATATTCTATTTTAACTGAAATATTTTTTCTCGTGTTGTTTATGAACACATTTACACGCGTGATGGAATTCGATTCAACTTAATTATTATACTGCTATTAATGACAGCTCGTTGTTGTATCGATTTCGTAGCTTTTAAAACGACACAAAAACGAAGCTTTGTAAAAACATCCGATGGAAAGTGTATTTCGAACGGGCGTATACCTATTCGCCTGTTGTCTTCGCCCGACATCCGTCTTTTACGCGTTTCATAAGTAAATGCAAATTTCCGTTATCCTTTTATCTTACTGTAAAAGCACGCCGGGTTTTAGCTAATATCGCCTCTCCGCAATCATCCGTTTCCTCGTTTCTTCTTCGCCTCTCGGACGGCCGCGGCCGTTCTCCTACTCTTCGGGTCATTTGGAGCGAGATCTTCCTCCACCGCATGTCCTCCCGCCACCTCTTCGTCTTCCTCCTATGCCGTCCTGACGACAAGGCTGTTCAGTCGTTACACGACCTTCTTCCAGGGTTACGTTCCTGCCAGTTTCCCGCGGCTCTTGTTCGTACCCGACGTCGATTGCACTCTGCGGAAGAAGCGATTTTTTTTCGACGTCGAAAAGCCAGCGCGAAATTGTTATTCGCGAATACTATACGTTCGATCAAAACGTGTTACATTGAAAATCGTGTGTGGATAGATTAGTGAACAATCGCAGGAGCATCGCGGAAATCGGGAGAAGCCAAAGGGAAGCCTCGGCCCGTCGGTGATCCATTGATTTTCCACATAATCGAGGTATAACGAGTGCTGATTTGCGAAAACATTATTCGTCACATTTACGTAATTAATAATAAAGCGTTTTTCGATGCGATATTCGTGCGATAGATTCGTCGGGTAGCTAAATTCAATAATAAATCTAAACAGGAACCTAGTAGAATTTTTCATTAATACGCGTTAATAAATAATTATAATGTTTGATCATTTTCTGACTGACTAAAAGAATTAAAATTCTAAATAGGTATCGAACGATAATATAGGACAATAGAATCTACATATTAAAAAAAAAAGTATTAATATTCTCGAGATTTACATGTTACATCCCTCGCGATCGAGCAAGTCATCCTAAATCTAGGAAATGATCGCGCGCGTGAAATGCGATTCGTTCCGCGTGCGAAACTGAAATTACACAATTCGGGGGCAAAACCCCACGAAGCAGGGAACAAAAGTAGGTCATACTGACCAACATCACCTGGCGCGTCCCATTCACCGTGTCAGGAAATTCCGAGACACCGGGTCACGACCACGGACGTTATACAGTCCGTGTTATGAATGGTGAATGGCGTTAGACGATTTTAGCGGGCGAATAATGTCACCGTGCAACGTTATTCGACCTGGATATTAAAGCCAGATAGGAGGAGATTATCAGAGCCGCGTGTAGGACAGCACGGGGGGAAATACAAGACAGATTCCGCGCGGAAAGGCGTGTAGAAAGAGAAAAGAGAGAGACGGTGCGGTGCCGGAAGACGAGGAGAGAGGCTGCTGAAAACCCGTTATACATTGAAACGGAATTCCACTTGACGTAATATTAGTCTGTCCTACAAGTACGTTACAAGTTTATCGGAATTTTAGCGCTGTGTTGATGTACGAATTTGCATTTGTCCCTCGAGGATAAATCCTCGCAGAACTGCGCATACATTTATAACACACCCGCGTCTATTTAGCTCATTCGCGATCGGTCGAACGGAACTTGTTCGGAGTAACGGCCTTACATTTATAATTAATGTCTCATTTAGCATCACTACGAGCTACAACGTAAGATGACGCGTTTACAGTAATATTTCTAGAGTCATTCATGGTTTACCATATCTGATCGGATAATCTAATTACATCTAATCGCACGCATCTTGCATAAATAGACGTGTGTACGTGCGACACAAATAAATTTAATTATGTATGCCACAATGTTCAATCGTACTGGATGTGGGTCGTATGCCGCTTTTTTTTTTTAATGCGTTTTCTTCCGCTGTGTGAAATGCGATCGACACCCGCATTTGAAATTGAGATAAGAATCATCGCGTAAATGCCGGCTCGAGCGTGAAATGCTGGCGTGAGAAAACGAAGGAAAAAAAAATTTATGAAAAGGAAAGCCAGACATTGTACACTGCATGTAGACTTGAACTATTTAGGCGCGATACCGGATTGATAAGCGATATTTTCCAGGCATCGTATGCGAGAGATGCGGGGACGCCCGTGGACGCTCCTCGCCCTTCTGGCATGTGTGTCAGGCGAATATCTGATGGGCGGCCACCTGGACAACAATGCCAGGTCAAAGACCCGATCCGGCAAGACCGACGGCTCCTCCACGTCGGAACGCAAGACGCGTCTGGACGACCTTGACCTGGATCTCGTGGCGGCGGAGAGCACCGTTGCTGCTGTCGCTGCCGCTGGCGGTGAGGCTTTAACCGGCGACGACGGTGACGTTCCGCGTTACCATATCCCGTATCCTTTCGCCTTCAACGGCGGCAAGCCGTTCTCGCTGGAGAAGGACCCGATAACCGGTAAGATCGATTTCGAGAAGGCGCCGCCCGTCAAAGCCCTCAACTATACCGGTCGTTATCGCGAGCGAGGTGATAAAGAGAGCAAAGACGGCGGCGGCGATAACGGGGGCGACGAGGAGGGCGCGTACGCGGAGCAGGAAAAGACGAGGAACAAGGATCGGAACGACGCCGGCCCGAACGAGATCAACGCGCAAACGCCCAACTTTCATGATTTCCTAAACTTGCCCGTCCATTATTCCTCGACGGACAAATACGGGAACGACAAGTACCCGTTGATCTCCAGCTCGTACGCGAATACGAAGGTGCAGAGCGGCGCCAACAGCTACAGCACGTACAATCACAGACCTTATCATCCGGAGAGCGAACTGCATGTACATTCCGTACACAGAAACCCGTACACGCCGATAACAAAAACGAGCACGCACAGGACTACGACCGCCAGCGATTTCAATGCGAGGTGGACAAGTACGACGAGTCCGTCGACGACTATGACTTCCGCATTGCCGAGCACGGCGAACTCGTCGCACACCGTGCTTCCTACTTCGACCCAACCACCTATTGTAACCACGTGGAAGCCGCCCGGTACTCCGATCACGTTTCACTCGATCGACCGTGCGGAGGAAAATGAGAAGAATCTTCTGCCGATAGAGAAGCTGCACGCCTCCGTGGGATCTCATCGAAATCCGAGCGACGTTTCGACGCAGTCCTCGAGCGATGGGACGACGACCACGGTCACCTCTCGTTACAAGGACCAATCGAATCTCAACAATTTCGTGGTATCCCACGCGAAGCCCGAAATGAAACCGGAAGCGCAAAACGAAGAGCATAAAGACTCCTACGATACTTACGAGTCAGACGGCGAAAGCGACGCGGACAATGAAGACAACTATTACTTCTTCTCGTTCGGAGATTTATTAAAGGAGGATCCGCCACCGTCGACACCGTCCACGACCACTTCCAGCACAACAATATCGACGACGACTGCGAGCACCACCACGACGACGGTTGCCGCGTCGCCGGCAGAGACCACAACGTCGACCACGGCTGTACCTTCGCGACCCCCCGTATCTCCGACGCTGCCCACGCTAAAAAAAGACGTACCTTCAAACAGACCACTGCAATTTCTAACGATGCCGCAACATCCGATCGTTCCTCTCTCGTCCTTGAGCAACGATCGAAGACCGGGCATTACGGAGCATTACGACGGCGTAATCAGTCACGGATACAGGCCGAGCCCGATAATCAAGTCGGAACCGGACAGAATCGGAGCCGGAGCCGTGGTCGAGAGCACGAGTAACATCGTGATACCGCCGGATCAGGACACCGTGTCTTTCGTTCTGGGAAATCGCCAGAACGTCGACGGTGGTTATTATTCAGTCGGGACAGCCGTCGGAGAGAATCCCTACGGCGGCGGCCTGTCCGAGACCGACGCTCTGTTCTGGCCGCTGCGTAACGATCCACACGATCCCACGAAGGAAGTCAAACACGAGCACATGCCCGTTTCCGTTGTCGAACCGAATCCCGACCGCGTTACGCAGAAGTGGGTCTGGCCGTCCAGCCCGAGTCCTCCGAGAGGCAGCAACGAGGTCGATCTGACGAGACTTCAAAGTCCCCTCATCGCCGTCGCGGGCACGGTGGTTCACGACACGAAGAATCCAAACAAGGAAAAGGATTCCGGCCACGTCATTTTCCCGGACGACGAAACGAGGAACAAGGACGCATTGACGGAGGAGCACATCGTGATCATAAACGAAGCGGACGGCAGTATTCGCGAGTTACCGCCCAAAACGACGTTGACGGCAACGTCGAATAAAACGAAGCTCAATCCTCCCATGGACGATATCATCGGGGATCTGCCGCAGCTCGCCGAGGACCTGGTGCCGCCCGTGGAGAGCTCCAAGCCGTCGTCCCATTACTATCATTACCAGTTCGATACGTCGAGGCCGAATCACTCGAGGCCGCCGCAGAGATTACCCTTACCGCCGCGTGTCAAGCCGCACTCGGGGCCGCCGGTACCTCCCCCGTTGGACGTGAGGAAACGTCCGTACTCGCCGGACCAGAAACTGCCCAACATCCTGCCGCAGTTCCGTCCTAACGCGAAAGCGTCGCACGGTCATCGCGGTCCGGACGTAATAGGGACGATGCCGGCCGGGCAAGGTGCACCCACGAGAATCAGGCAACCGTTGCCGGCTCGTCAGCCGTCACGAAGACCTATGCTGCCGGCACCCTCGTACCTTCAGCGTCTGAATCCACCGCCGCCGCCGATCCACGCGGTCAGACTGGCCTTCACGCCGACCTCGAAGGTGGACAGCGTCGTCCTACCTCACGAGACGGAACCGACGATACGAAGACTTCGTCCTCCGCACGGGGTACCGCCCGTGTCGCGCGGGGGCGGCCTGGAGGAGAACGCGCCGTCGAATCGATTGTTCGCTCACGGTGACGGCAGCGACGGCGAGATCGGCGAGAACAGGAAGGAGGATCGGGGTAAGAGCGAGATAATCGCGGACGAACGCGAGAACGAGGGCTCGGAAAGGTATCCGGAGGAACCGCCGATGACACCACCGAGGCCGCCGCTGTTCCCGAAGCGCAGAACGGCGGATCCCCCGCACGTTACGACTCTGCAGATGATACAGCATCACGGTGAATTCGGCGACGTGGGCGATGACGAGGCTCAGCCCCCCGTGGAACCTATGCTCGCCCACGAAGCGGATCGCCGAAAATCGGACAATCACGATCCGTCGGAAATACCGGAGCAACCCGTGTACGTCGTGTATCCGGTCAACACCGCGGTCAACATACACCCGGACGATTCCAACGAGAAGGACGGCAGCGTCGTCGTGGGTACGCGGGGCCCTCAGCGACCGCTACCGCCCGATACTCTGCTGCAAAACGAGGACGATACGCACACCGTCTACAACGGCAGACCTGTCGCCCTGGACTTCCCGTATCCGCTTGAACGACCTGATCCATCGTCCGTTTTTCCCACCGTGAAGGAGACCCCCGTGCTGATACCCAGCGAGCAGCGACAGCAGGCTGCTGCAATCGCGAACGAGCGAGAAAACGAGAAGAACGAAGCGGTGAATGTGATCCCGTATTTGCAGGACTTCCTGCCGTACCGAAAGAAGAACGATGCGGCGATCTCTGTGACGCTGCATCGCACAGCATCGATCGCGTCGTCATCAAGTTCGATGTCAACCGCGTCGACGTCGACCTCGACGCCAATCGCTTACGTGTACACGCCGACGTACGCGCCATATCCGGCGCATCTCGATGAAGATCTCGATGGCAACGACGACGTTACGAGCATCGACGCGAAGCAGACGGTGCTGTTGCCTTCGCAGCAGCCGTCCAGCTCCTCCAGCTCGGCACCAGCACCGCAAAACTTCATGGCTCCTTTCGTCGCGAGTATGAGCGCCGAGACGCCTAGCAAGAACGGCTGGAGCGTCGTCGTGGTCGAGCCGCCCGCGGGAGCGGAGAGAAAGTCGGACAGCGACAGCGAGGCGAAACCTGCCGACTCGGAGAACGACGCGCAGACCGAAAGAAGCGAGTTCGACGCCGACAACTTTAAGCCGCAGCTCTTCGGCGGTTTTAAGCCGCTCTACGAGTTCCCCAGCGAGAACGCGGAGCGTCACGACGTCGCCGACGCGGACGCCGAAATAAACATGCCCAGGCACTCCAAAGAACTGCTGCCTGTACCTGATAAGGGATAAACTCGTATAGGATACCGCAGACGCACTTCGCTTCTTTTCTCTTGAGTCTTGCTCTCGGACATTTCGCTCGCACTTTATTATTACTCTTCTCGCGTATATGTAAACGAAAACGTTAGCGAAAGCGAAAACGAAAGCGAGACATACGTGCGTAGCAACGAGAATGAAGAGCGAATGTCCGACGCGCGCTGCTCGATGAAAAGCTACTTCGCAGTAGAGCCAACTCGAATGGTAGAAGACTGTACTCTATTTTCACTCCGCTTAATGTATAAGAAACGTCGCGATACGAAATGATATTTAATTTATGAAATGACTTGCATCTGTTAAGCTCCGCCTGCGGCAGCGTTAACATCAGCTGAATATTAGTGGAGCGTAGAAAATATTGATGCACGTATCGTTAAGTATGAACGTATCAAAAGTATCGAATAAAAATATTAACGTAAGTTTTTTATGGGCAATACTTTTGCAACGTTTTGTATTATATTAAGTATTCCCATTGAAAAAATGCAAAAATTATACCTTATACTTTCTCACGTAATTTCGTGCTTATACCTATATTATATCGCAAAATCGCTTGTAATATTTTTTGTAAAAATCAGTTATTTATTATCTATATGACATTCAGTATATTTTTATGTAAAAAATTTCTCATGTAAACGTGTAGAAATTAAATAGTCTATATATAAAAATTATTTTTAGAACTTTCAAAAAAGAAAGGAGATATTAATAGATAGGAAAAATTAATTTTTGGCATTTTTTCTATCTTACGATCTTTTCTCTATTACGTACTTCATTATACAAGTCTTATATATATATATATATACTTATATATATTTTTATATAAATGCGTACTTTTAGATTAGAAGCTCTTGTCTACTAAACAGTCTTATCCAAACAGTCGAAGGTCAAGCTTGAGAACGACGTCGCCGCTTTCGACTTCATGCAACTTAATCCTCTTTTGGATTGGCCCGCAAGAATTTTTGCTGTCTCTCATTATGTCAGCCACTCTGATCTCAGCGCGACCAAGGAACTCTGCATTAACAACATAACAATATCGCGGACATGAGAAAAATTACAGAGCAATTTAGCGATTTGAAGGATTGATTATTAATCTTGTGTACTCGGTGTAAAATTCCAATGTCCATACTAAATATTTACCGTCAGGACTATAGTATCCTTTGTCGAATACGGTGATGCAGAGAGTATCTTCGATCAAATCTTTTACTTGGAATTGCATCGAAGCATCCCACAAAGGACAATCACTTCCGGATACGACACTCGTTCTTTCTTCTTGAGAGCCCATAGACACTTTGCAGAATGCATTACACTTTCCTAGAAGAGAGAAAAAAAACATTTGTATGTGCATATGAGCAGTCTATGTTGCCGTGAACAGCAAATTCTCCAACGTACAAAAACATATATTTCTTTCCCTTCAAGCATTAGTAATTTTGTCTTTTGTACAACAATTGCACAGCCATAAATTCTCAAGACATTCCAAACATAGTGTGCTTACCTTTATCCATGGATTTTCGAACTTAAAAGTTTAATCTTTCTTATTAAAAAGATAAATTGAGATATTTTAATAATTTATTTTTTTCAAAACTAAATAATGTCCCTTTTAAAATAATTTTTTGTTCACGCCTGCATTTGCCAAAGTATTTAATTTTAAATATATCGCGTAGAGAACATATTACTATCTTCTAATTCGCACCAGAGACATACGGAAGAAGCATAATTTACAGCACGGAAGATAATCGAAATAGAGATGAAAATTGTGCATATAAAGATTATCAAAAAGCGCAATAAAAATTGATCTTGACAAGTCAGCATCCCATGAAATACGAGCTATTCAGAGTTGTTTTAAAAAAATACAGGACCTCGATACTGTACCTTTCACGCCAATGGCAAGATCTTCAGCCTCCATAACTACTAGCATCAGCCTACCTTGTGGAAGTCTCTCGCAAACTACAACACCATGGCAGATTTCTGTTAATAGTATAAAGCGTTGCATGCAAATATAACCTTTAGAAGTGATACACAAAATGTTTTTTGGCTTGATTTTTGACAGCATGTTCCTCTTCGGACAGACACAATACATTATCTATGTACATTATTTTGAAACCTTTGCAAGAGCATTGAGCACAAGGAAGCATTAAAAGCACATAAAGCTCTACTGACAAAGGCACAAGAAGCAATAACAAGCAACCTAAACCATCGGGATCCTTACCGGATGGAGCTTTCAAGTTGAAGCCTTCGAGCACAGTGACGAGAATTCTGCCGCACGCCCCAAATTGCGCCTGTTCTGTTCCCCCCATATAAACCATGAATTATTATTGAATATCGAATGTTTTACGTGGCACAATTATCTATGTAAAGCTCGACGTCGATGTTCGCTAATGTATGCTTACAAATCACGTTGGGAAGCAATTTGCAGAAATACGAATACACGATAAATATGCTTGATTTTCAATAGTCGTGATAGTTAATCGAGTATAGCCACTCACTTGACCGCTGTCTTTGCAGGCAATTCTTCTCGTTCTCCAAAAACCTCCTGCGCGCTTCTACGATTCGTTTCGACCACAATGAACATTCATTTGCAGACGGCGCTAATAATATTATTGGCTTCTTTTGATCTTTCAGTCTTAGAGTTTTCGATGAATTGTCCGCTGCGTCACTTCCGCTCAGGCTACTGTTTCCGTCGCTTTCTCCGGACAAAGACAATTCGTTGAGAAATATCGGCTATCGAAAGAAAAGTCAGCTTTTTAATAACGACGATTGTAATGAAAAACTTTGATTTGTAAATTATTCTTCTCCAAGAATTGAATGCGTACCTTCCTGTACATCTTAAATTTTTGATGCTCATTACGGTCGAATGAAAATTGTTGACAATTCAAGGAGAATTTCATTGGTTGAACGAATAGTAGAAAGTCATTCGTGAGGAAGCCGACGAGTTCTTTACCGCTTTTTGACTGTAACAAAATTGCAACAGTAAAATCAACGTGATACAAAGATTTTTAATGATTCCCGAAAAGATATTTGTTACCTTATGAAGTATACCGAAATGTAACAGTTTTCGCGGTCCTAAGGAATTCGTCAAGGAATTGAAGATGAGCTGTTCTTCAAGACCGTCGCATAAAACGTGAGTTTGTAGCCATTCCAGTCTGTCGCTATTTTCCTTTTCCCTAACGCCTTCGTTTACCTACGTACGTACGATAATATAAATTAGATAATATAAATCCGTAAAGTATTCTATCCTCCTACATACGTAATGAGATGTATATCAATTAAGTTACGTTGCTTTGCTTTATACTGACGTTATTTTTACCTGAGTACAAAACTCCTCGGATTTGGCCAGGGCTTCCTGCAGATACTGCCTGTCGGGATGATCGACCGGCGTATGTTCTAAAATCTATAATCACTGCGTGTTACACACATATTACGACGTGAACTACAATTATTTACAGATAGGAGAGGATACTTTGTTGATGATGAGCGGATATTTTGTTATCCTTTGCATCGGCTTAATCAAAAACGAGCTCAGCGGCATTCCCTTCGTACGCGGGTCTTGCTGACATGCCTGCGCGACCTGAACGAATTCCGGCAAGGTCTCCGTCAAACGTTGCAGATACGTCGCAGCAGATATTTGGCAGCTGCAAAATCTTATGTAAGCCGACATCCTAGGTATCTGTGCGAAATACATACACATCGTAATGTAGACAGGTGTCAATAACGAAGGCAGCTTCCGCGTCGCACATTTTTAAAATTAACTTACATTTTCGCACAGTATATCACCGATCATTCGAACTACCCCGTTATAGCTGTTATCCCTTCGTATCCTTAGAGTCCTGCAAGGAAATTTATTCGTGTCCCTTTAGTTTAACTTTGGCATCGATAGAAAATATGTACTGTCATAATATATCAACGGAATTCTGATTACCTCAAGAAATTATCGTTACATGCAATAATATCTCTCCAATTGATAAATATTCTCTCTATCTCGTCGACACTTAGGACTAAACTTTCGATTAACGGTTTCTCAAACACCTAAAATGTGCATATATATATAAATATACGTTATATCATAACGTTCCGTAGATTCCCCGAATTTCCCTTCAGCTTTTTTCCGATATCAATTTGGAGTTCACATGTTTTGCTTTTATCCCTTAAATAAATGCGTGATAAAGGAATAACTTTTCAAAAGACACAATACTTTTTGGAGAAAATGTCAACTCCAAATTGACATAAATAATTTTTAGATGAAAGGAGGGAGAACCGTACATCCTAGATTGTGCATTGTGAATTAAACGAGCAAACATAACAAGGTGAATTCGAAACGGAAGGAAATACCTCATGTACTAGTCTCATGTCCTCTATGTAAGCTTGTTCAGTTACAATTAACTCTTTGATATGTTCCTGACGTTTTCTCTCCATGGGATCGTGATACATCATTGTATCGATCATCAATTCATTCGCTGCGCATAAAATATACACACAAAAATGTTTCTTCTGCGTAAAATCATCATTAAATATATATATATTTTTTAAATCTTGCATTATCCACTTCCGTGCATTGAATTTCTTGCTCTAAGGGGGAATTATTTGATACGGCAACTACTTTCGCAAATAATAAACGTCTTGATAAAAATATTTGTCGTCATATTGGTTGTACATTGCGAAGAAGAGAGAAAATATATGTTTGAAACAATATCGGTAAAGTCGAGAAATGTCCGTTGCCATTTCACACGAGCGAGACACACACAATTCGTAAGAATAATTTTACAACAGACAGATATTTTATTTCGATCAGCGGTGAGATGCGAACGTATTCGTATATGCACATATGGATATGTTTACATATGTATAAGAACATCGGCGTACATATGTGTGTGTGGAAACACAATATAATATTTCTATATTTATATATATATATATTTATATATATGTATATAAAGTGTGAACAAGATTCGTAGTCACACAAAACTCATACTCTCTTACAACATTCTCCACTACACGCCAGATTACACCGTATCCTATTGTGAGACTTCTGATGAGATTCGATATTAGAATAAACAAACAACTTGCAAATAGTAACAATCTTAGGAGTATAACGCACTACACGGCTACATCGACTAAGGGTAACCAGTTGCACAACTTGCTTTAGACATCCCACCGTCCCACCGTCCTGTATAACGTTATGCGTCGGACTGGTTGTCTGGAATACCTAATTATTAAGCACACAATTATTGCCACTGTGACATAACGTATTTACTCGCTTCTGTCATGGAGGGTTACATAGAACGCGTAATTGTTCTCGCAATAGCAATGAATAAATACGTTGTGCGCTTGATTTCTCGCCGAATCAGCTGTACCGTCCTCGGTTTTTTTTTTTTTTTATAATGATGGTTGGAGCCCTCAGGGAGTCTTTAAAGAAGCCAGACCGACCATACTTTTACTTCACGAACATTCGTAAAAACGTTCATCGAACGTTAAATTGTCAATGTTGTATCAAAGCTTTGTAATTGCGTGTACGCCGAACTCGGTGCAAAAATGTAGGCTCTAATGCGGTTCTCAAGGATCTTCTTTTCTTCTTGGAAACAATAAACATTTGAATATATCTTTTTAATATAATAAATTCTTTGTAACGAAGCACTGTATGTTAACGGGCTAATAGTATAATACATTACACGAATAAGACGCCGACTGTCGATTACAATCCAGAAAATGAACAGTCAGTCGATTAATACACATATAGGAATACGATTCGATGGAAAAACCAATTTACAGTAACGTTACTCATTGAATCACGCGGTCAACACTATCGTTTTTTTTTTTTACTTATAGCTCATTATTAGTGATCCTCGGCAATTATTGTTCACGTACGAGTGCTAATTTATTTAGGCTCTATCGTAAAAGGCTGCGAAGAAGGAGCACACACTATCCTTAATCCTCTTTGTTATTTACAGCAATACAACACTCGTCACTCGCGCGGGATGAGCGACTAAAATCGAACGGTCGGATTGACAAAATTATGCCGAATGCCTATAGCGAGCAATCAAGTCGTGTATCGCTTTGCTTCACTTGACTTCTTTTCCCTTCTCGAAATTTCTACGCGAGTAAACGGAACACTTTTTTTTTCTTTCTTACTAGATGTAACAAGCCGCGAGCGACATCTCAAGCGTCGGATGAAATTGTGCAAGATATTTCTGGGCTCCTTCTCCTCTTATATCGCTTCCGATCGTGGCAGCTGATCACTGGCTGCTTGATTGTGAGAGATCGTCACACATTCTTTACATATTCTCTAGGCCTCAGCGTGAGACAACCGCGGTTTCTAACGATTCGCGATGCGCATCATATAATAATGTTGACAAAAGACAAAACGCAACTGTTGCTTTTCTAACGATCATTTCTATCTCACGCAACTGTGATCAATGCAGATATTACACTACAGACAGAGGAAATAATAGAAATACATAGTGATGAATCTTAAATCCTAAGGAACGCGATCGAATTAAATCCTCTAAAATTTTGATCGACCACCAAAATGTTCCGAAGTAAAAAGAGACAAGGAAGCAATTCTGAAAACACTTGCTCCTCCTCCTTTTTTGTTAAAGCATTTTTCACTTACAACTTGACATATTTCGTACAGACCAGATTTTCTTAAAATGAAACTCTTAAAAACGTAAAATCGAGCTGAACTGAATACGTCAATCCGCACATGGACATAGCCACGGGATGCAAACAGCACATCCAACATGAACTCAACAAATCACTTAAATATTAAGTAACAATAATATTCGTACCGTGACGTAATGTTAAATATTTCTAACGTGAATAAGCTAAAAATTTAATATTATTGTTTCTTAATTGTACGTCAGCATAGATAGAGAACTGAGGTAGACCTTTGGTGTTGGTGCAAATATATCAGGTGGTCGTAATACTAATGAAACGATTTAACGATTGGATTTGGTACATACGCGCGTCGTTTCTATGCAACGAACATAGTGTTTCGGATGGAAATTCGTTTGAAGATGTAAAACAGTTAAAGGCTAATATGTAGGTGACTCATGTTAACAATCCGAATGACAAGATTAATGAAGAGGAATGAGTGCAACCCCGCACCAGAGGGAAAGGCTTGTATAATATGTATAAGTAGAGGCTATATTTATAGAGACAAAGAGCCAACCCTGAGTCTTTCTCCCTGCCCTTCTCGTGTTAATTTTTTTTTCTTTTTCGCTTTCCTTTATTCCCTCTCTTTCTCTCTCTCTCTCTCTCTCTCACACACACACAGACATTCCTTTCCCTCGCCATCCCATTTCTCTGTTTTTATTTGCTCCAACATCTCTCACATTTTTTTTGCTTTTCTTTCTTTTTTTCATGCACAGTGTCTCCAACGATGAGACCTCTGTAGTCGTAGCACGCCGTGCCGAATGTAGGGAGCTGCTATTGTTCTTATTACACTTCAGGTGCTTTAATTTTAACCAGCAATGCTGTTCTGCTGCTCGGCTACCCTTTATGCTGCGTGTTAAAAAAGCAAAAGCGAAAGATAATAATTAATAAAAAGATTACAAAATGCACGTATTTATAGACTAATAATAGAAAAAATTGAGGCAGCTGTTCTCTTCAAAGCATATTTTATAATTTTAACATATTAAAATTGTCATTTGAGAATCATAGCAGCACAGAATTATACAAAAGTGTTTCGCTAAATAAAATGTATTTTTTTTTCTTATAAAATCTTTTGCAATTAAACGTACAGTAAACTTGAAGTTTAATAAGAATTTTATTTTAGTTGAGAAAACATAACAGAGTCTCTATAGAATATTTAAAGAACACATACAAAATTAATTATAAAAGATAATATATTACAAATAATAAAATTGCAAACTATATCAACAATGTTAACTGTTATTATTGTTAATCGTAATATCAAAGAAACGGCTACCTCTGACGGAGAGACGGACGGACGAACGAACGAATGGGCAGACATGCAAGGCAGATAGGCAGGCTGTTTTCACAAACTGAGAATGATGTCTGATTTGTCGCGCTTCCGTTTTCTATTTCCATTTCTAATGTAAACCATAAGGCAATAAGTGTGTGAGCGATCTCTTAATGCTTGTGATATACCAGTAACCAGTGCCGTACACAATACATATGCATTAGAAGAATGAGAATAGTATCAGTTATCACGAAGTGCAAGCGGACTTTGAAGACAACCAAACGCATCATTTTTACACAAATACTCACATTAAAAAAAAAAAGTTTTCCAATGATATCATTAATTCAGACAAGGTTTGTAACTGATGGAGAAAATATATTCTTCGATATTTTAATCTACATTGAGCTTATAAAAAATTTATGCTGTTCTCTCTTTTTCTCTCTGTCAGCTAACGCTTTATCCATAACAATATATATTAATCCAGAAAAAAACGTAGGGAATACGTTCTACATACTTTCAGCTTTACTCTCTTACAAGCTATATTAACTTATAATACAATGCTACCATTACGTATATATTTAATAATAATTGCAATAACGTACTCCATCTTTACTTATTCTGCGAGTTAATAAAAGTAATCAAGTGCAGAATAAGTGAAGAGGTGAAGCTTAACATAATAAAATAATTAAATAACAACGATAATAATAGCTATAATAACAATGACAACGATTAATGATAACGGTGATGTTGACGGAACTACTAATAGCAATAGTGTTGATAATGATATAATAAAAATAATAACAAATGATTTAAAAAAATACAATAAATAAATAGTCGTTTTAAATTGGAACTTGTTAAACCTGACGATCGTCCGCCTATCCGTAGCCAGAAGTTATGTATTACGCATCTTTATATTTTTATTCCTTATCAATTATTCAAGCACTCTCTCTAATGTAATGTTTATACGCGTGCAATCAGTACGTGTAGAAATTTAATATACAAGTTAGCGCTACAGTACATAATTTTCTTCTCTGTTCACACTGTACGACTTGTGACGTTAAAAGGCAAAATAAGGTGATCCGGGGATTCAATCAATTTCGGCAATCACGTACGAAAGGAATACTTACACATAGGTGATACGTAGTTGCTCGGAAAGACGCCGGATACACCGTTCAATTCACCCCTCCACCATGACGCCTCTTCCTTAGCAAGTACCGATATAACGTCGCCTTTTTCGAAGCTCAATTCATCCTCATTTTGAGCTTGGTAGGGATACAGAGCCATAACGCGTTCTATAAGTAAAAGAAAAGACTTATGCCATGGATTTATTATGTCTGAGCAAACTGTTCTCTAAACGTTACAGCTTAATCCAAATATATAAGTACAGTTTTGAAAAAAATAGTAAAATAATAATTGCAGAATTTATTTACCAATATTCGGATCCGTTGGAGAATCTTGATATCCATGTGAGACAGGTGTACTTCTATTACTGCTACTGGTTAAGGGTTTAACATAAGTTGCCGGGAACCAACCAACTTGTCTCTTTTTACCGCGTGCCTGAATACAAACGCGAATATGAACAATGCGCTAGTTATTATTTAACAGTACGACATTAAGTGGTAAAAAAGAAATTTGTATTCTTTTCACCTGAAGCTCTCCTTCCCACCAACCACTATCAGTCTTTTTACGAATCATTATTAATTGTCCTCTTTGCAAGTCTAACTGTTCTGAACTTGTTGCTTGGTAGGGTGCGATAACTTGAACAATTTCTGGTTTTCTTCCTCTCTGTGAAAAGGAATTTTTCTCATGAATTAAAGTTAGCTTCTCGATATATTAAAACAGTTCTATAGTATGAAGAATTTTAAGGGGAAAAAAAAACGTTTCACGTAAACTATAACAACGATGAAAATTGGTTATACAATAAATCTCTCATGAATATCTCAAATAAATTTCTCATAAATTAAAGTTAGCTTCTCGATATATTAAAACAGTTTTACAGCGTGAAGAATTTTAAAGGAGAAAAAACGTTTTCACGTAAAACTATAACAATGATAAAAATCAGTTATACAATAAATCAAATACCTTGTAATACTGCATTTTCGGGATGTCGATAGCATAAAAGAAGCAGTAAGCAATTACACTCTCATAAGAGAAAAAGTTCTAATTGCATGAGTATATTAGAAACTTTCTCTTTTACCTGCTGTGCGGCCATAGCAGTAAAGTCCGGTAATTCCGCTCTATCCTCAGCAGCTGCTCTCTCGTCTTCTAGCTGCTCCGCCGTTTTCTCTACCTGCTAAATACGCGCACACTCAATGTCATTAAGTTTTGCCACTGCATTGTTCGGCGTCAATGCAATAATAGTGGATTGATAACATTAGCATTTCAACGCGATTTTGAAGTGATTACGATTACGCACTTGCAATCCTGCGGTCGTCGAGATATCAGCTTCGTCCTTTATTCCCGCAGTTGCAGCAACGGCAGACTGAACGTTAGTAGGCGCACCCTAATCGATGTCACACAAATTAAAAACTTTCAAACGTGGATTAATAAAAAAAAATTGCATTTTTGTCGTATCAAGCAGTTAACTTCAATTTACAAATGAATTAATGATTAGGAACTAGCAAAGAGACAAAATGCAAGAGATACTAAAGTTGTAACATACTTGATTGGGAGCGTCGCACTTCTCCACGTAATTAGATGGAAAGATTCCGCTTTTGTTCCCTATACAACCAGTCCACCATTCGCCGTCCTTCTTCGTAACTACCATAACGTCCCCTTGATTGAAATTAAGATCGCCGGCTTCGGACGAATCGTATCGGTAAAGGGCAACGTAATATTCATTAAGACCGTCAACAGCAGTGTCTTTGCTACTTGCGATTACTTCTCTCACGTACGACTTGGGGAACCAACCCTTATTTCTAGTGCTGGATGAACCGTACCACCAGTCGTCCTGAACAAAATAAATAATTTATAAAACGTATACGCATTACTTTCTTTATATAATATATAATATATATGTTACATAATATTATATATTATATAATAATATACATATAATATAAATTATAATATAAATATATTATATAATAATATATAATATGTATGATTAATATAATAGTAACCTGCTGCTCAGTAACAGTGATAGTTTCTCCTTTTTCGAAAGAAAGATGTTGCTCCATAGTAGGTCGATAAGGAAACAAAGCGGTGACTTGTATATTGCAAGATGTACCTAATCCTAACGTAGGTATAATAGCTTCCACTACCGGGGCTTCTCCCCCTAATGATCCCGCGTCGGATACGTTCTCGGGAACCTCCGCTATTCCTCTGCACAATCAGAATAAAAAGGCCGACAGTTTGTATTACGTGACGCGACAAATTCTTGATAGTAACACAAATAAAAATAACTAACTCTAACGTTCTCTTCTCTACGCTGTCTTGTTGTATGAAAGTACGTTCGTTGTCCAAGTCAGTAGTTGCACCAGTATCCACCGGCTCCACGTAAGATTCGGGAAACCAGCCGGTGTGACCACGAATTTCTCCCGCCATCCATCCCGGTTCAGCATTTTGCACAGGTGGTACCTGCAATTATAGGCATTTATATTAACTGTTGGCTCAATTTTCTTTTTAATAATGGCAATTCTATTGCATTTATTGCACCTACCAGTATAATATCGCCAGGTTGAAACGATATCTCGTCTTGATTTCGCGCCACAAATTCGTAAAGAGCTCTGTATTTGCGGACGCCTATAACGTCAGCTTCATTCACTGAGCTTGCAGTAGTGTCTTCATTGACAGGCCAAGCTGTGTCGCTGGAAGGAGGTTCTCCCCAACCGCTGTCTCCCCATGCGGACGTGGCAAAGTCGGCAGCCGAGGCATTACCACCTGACCGAAGTTCGATTACTTTCTTCTTCTTTTCATCGAAAGTGACGTAGAGTGTTTTACAATCCCCTACTAGATTTTTCATTTGTGTCTTAATATCCTCAAGCTGACCATTATTATTTTCAATATCGGACATCTTAGAATCAATCTGCGGGGAAAAAAATGTTTAAAGATAAAATATCGATGTCATAAAAATTTGCTTACGTAATTGACAAATGTCGCGGGCGTATATATACCTGCTGCTGTAAATCTGCTATTTTGTCTTTCATCTGCTTAAGAGTAATTTGTTTATTGTCAAACGCCATTTTAATAGCCTCTTGCCCGGCTGCATCTTGCGCCGCATTGATCTTATTTCTCGCCTCGATACGCGCCTTCTCTTGACTCAACGCTAGCAATCTTTGATTTTGTTCCCGAAGTTTATTCTTTAACGCGGCCATTTCCTGTAGCTGCGTGTCTCTCGTTGATCTCATGCCATCGATAGTCGTTTTGACACCCGACACTCCTACCCGAGTATCACAAATCTTTTGTGACAATTCCTTTACTTTGTCGTTCTAAAAAAAAAATAAGGGAAGACAACGTAAGAATTGATCATTAAAATGATGCACTCACAATTTAAAGTATATATTTAATATATTTACAAGTGTTCCAAGTTCGATGGTCAAGGTCTGATTCTTAGCTTTCAACTTGAGAAGAATGTCCTGCTCTTTTTGCCTTTGTGCTTGCAATTCTTGCGATTTCTGTTTTTCCCACTCCAATTGCCGTTGCCTCTCCATTTCCCTAAATATCATAAAGCAGCGCTGCTTTTAAATCTATACTCTTAAATCTATACAAATTTCTTTAATAACATTGAATATAATCGACTTACTTGCGTGCTGCCTCTTTTTGTTCCTGCGCACGTTTTCGCTGTTCCTCCTTCTCCTGTTCAATCTCCTTTTGCCTCTGCATTTGTTTCTCGATTTCCGCCTGTCTACGCCTCTCCTGCTCCAGTCTGTATCACAAAACGCAAAGTTTTAATTCCTACGTTATACTTAATTAATAAACAGTTCTACTTGCCTTATTTTCTCCTGTTTCTCGGCCTCCTCCCTCTCTTTGCGCTCCCGTTCTTCCTGTTCCTTTCGCTGAATCTCTAATAACGCTTTACGCCTACGTTCTAATTCCGCTTGACCTTTCTCGAAGTTCTCTTTACGTTTATCTTCGAATGAAGTCTGTAAAAAAAAAGAGGCATTTTTTTCCTTCCGTTTCTTTTTGCACAAATAGAGATATTTTTATATTTGACATATACCTGCGGCATGCCCGCCAGTGGATCGATATTTTCCGTTGCATTTTGAGATAGCGTTAAACTGCTCTGACGTTGCCGTCTAAATGTGGGTGGAATAAGTTCTAGTGGAAGCGTCGGAGGTATAGTTTCGCCGGTTTTAGCGACATCGCAAAGATGCATCGCAAGCACAAATTCCTCGGAACCTAAACGTCCATCCGAATCCATATCGGATAGAGCCCTGTTGACATTTTGAAAATTTGCTCTTCCGTTATACAATACGTGTAAAGAATAATACCTCGCATATCTTGTAATAGTATTTCATTACTATACCATATCTGAGCGAGTATGTTTTGTGGCAGTTGCGACTGCACCATGATATTTCTTGCTTGAGGCCCAGATAAAAAGCCAGATCTCGTTCGGTCACAAGTATTAAACATCTGAGTATATTTTAATTTGGTCTGATGCGGCACCGCCCATTCCGTAGACTGCGGGGAGCCAACCGAGTGCTGCGAATCCATGGAGCCTATTCTGTCTATACTTGGTGGACGTGCTGTTGTGCTCAAAGGTGTATTCGTGGATACTGGCGTTTGTGTTATCGCGCCGTTGACCAATGCACCGTTTGCAGTTGTCGAGGATACTAATGGTAACGCTACTGATGGAGCAACTCCAGTACCTAAAAAAAGAAAAAAAGAGTTAATTAATTAAAATAATATTGTAACAAATGTAAGCTTTTTTTTACACATACATACCAGTATTTATTGATCCAATGGATGGCACCATATTAGGAATGCCGGTCATGGGAGCAATCATACCTGCACTAACCATGCCTATAGGCTGTGTCGGCATTGGTTGTGCCATATTAAAGGCAGCCATTGGTACGGGAGTTGTGTTTAAAGGGGCGATAGGCGCCGCTGATGGGATACCTGAGTAATTGACAATTGTAATAAAATTAAATAATAATTTGGGTATTTTTGTTTGAACGCAAAGTTCACTCCTATTTTTTTTTTACCTATTCCAGAGGCAGGTAGAGATGGAGACGAAGAACCAACAGACGAGGGACCAATGACGGAACTCGTAACTTTCATTGGGGGTGAGATTCCTACTGCAACAGGACTATTTGGAAACGAGGGTGGTGATGGTTTTGGTGGCGGGCCACCCGTCGTTGCCGTAAAATTATTCCCTGAAATAATTCCGCGTAATTATTATATTTTTTCATTTACGTTCCAATAATTGTAAAGATCTGATTATTTAAATTCAAGCGACATTCGTTACTTTTGTTCGGTAAATTACATGACAAATATTGAAAAAAAAAAGGAGACAGATAAACAAGCGCGAGCAAGGAGATTGTGCAAATACTTTAATACTTTCTTTCTTCATAGCATGTCAATATTAATGTAATAAGATTTAGTAATAATTGCGTTTGCCATAAACAATACATATGGAGCTTGTGTTTGATTTAAACATACCGATACTTGCAGGTGGTGCAGGTCTTTGCGGGGGACCACCGGATGTGGTATTGAGGGGAGGTGCGATTCCTTTTTATTTGCCGCGTAAAGTGTAAAGTATTATTAACGACAAGTTGTCGAAAGTGACGAAATGCAAATGTTATTACAAGTATAGAAACGGTATATGAATGTAAACCTCTCAAATGCTGATAAGTAAAAAGTGTTATCATCAACAAATAAAAATCCTAATTCTACGAATAGAAAATATTCTTTGCATAACAACATCTAAAGTTGTTAACAGTCGCGCTTGTTTCTATGTGCAGGCATTTATGAGAACTTTTCTAATTTTATTACTTTTTGTTGAATAATATTAAAATGATATGTAATAATCAAGATGCAGAATTCTTTTCTTTTTTTTCATAAGTATACACTTGCTGAAAAATCTATTGTTCGCAAAGTCCAACACATACCTACATACGTGTAATAAAAAGTAATAAAACAAAAAGATAAATTTTTAATCTGAGCAAAGATTGATTTGCACTTTCAAAAGCTTTTTTGTTGCGACATAAATTTCTGAAACGGGCAACATCGAAAGTATAAGCTGTGCATCTGTTTCATGTATTAAGGAAATCAAGATTATAAAATTGTAACTAAAAATAAAAGATATGCGAGATACATTTAAAAACATTCCAAAATCATGTAGTGTATTTAAAGTGTAGTGAGTGGCAACAGCTAGAAAGCAAGTTTGCCTTTTGACATTACATCATGACGTGACTAATAATATCAACAAACAAAACAGTTTGAAAAATACGTTTTAACTTAAAACACTGTTAAGCGACTGAATAAATGGTTACTTCAGGTAAAAGAAGACAAACTGGTCCATAAAATACGATACAGTTACCATTCAGTACAATTAACATACCCACAGAAGGTGGCGCGGGTCGAGCGGGTGGCTTAGACGGTATATGAGTTGTGGCATGTGTGCTTGAAGCCACATTCTGTCTATTTTGTTGTAATGCTGTGTAGTATGATGAATAATGAATAACACAGGTAAAGTCATGTCTGATAATCAATGCTTCATGGTTAAAGTAATAACATCGTCTCAGCGATACGTCCAATTCAATTTAACGAACATAGTGGATACTGATATTGTCTGATAGATGATTGATAATAATACAGGTTTGTCGGATATCGGTGGTAACGTACTTATGTTCGAGATATTTGAATGAATCTAATAAGCAACGATCTGAACGAAAGTGTATCTCTGGGTGCTTATAGACGCTTCTTAAGAAGATTTTTTTCTTCTAGTTTACCGAGATATCACATAAACAATCTACCTAACAATCGTCGATCGAGAGATAGGGGAAAGGGGAATAACACGAAAAATGAATCAACATTTAATGGTATATTACCTATAAGGGTACTTCCAGCCGTGGGTATCGCGCTTGCTACGGTCTGAGATACCATCGGTTGAGGTCCGCTTAAATTTACTAGAGAGCTAAGGTTGCTTGGAACGGTAGAACCATTCGGCAATCCAGTCAGGTTAGCGTCGCCTAAAATTTCTCGCGATGTAAACTTTCGCCGTTATCTCGCGCGAAATCATTTACCTACCGGTCGGGAAAGACTTCAAGCTCTGTATAAGAACAGGTGGCAGTACGTTGGGAATTTCGAAACCGCGCAGTTTCAAATTGATCAACTTGCACGCAATACTGAACTCGTTTATATCCATCTTCCCGTCCGCGTCTGTATCCGATAATGCCCTGTAATATGTACAGAAGGATTAGGAACCATGTCACGAGGAAAGGTTCGAGACAGTAGCCTTTAAGCAGCAGGCTGCTTACCATATCTGTCCGAGAATAGCAGGCTGGAGTTGAGATCTGAGGAGGAATCCTTTCGCCTGCTCGCCGGTGACAATTCCATTGATCGGTTTCAACGAGTCAAATTGCTCTTGGTATCTTAGTCTTTCTCTTGGTTGGATCACCCAGGGGTCCATACCTGCGTATCAAATATATTTAGAACCGCCGCAATCAGTGATGAGGTCATTGGGAGAGCACTGATGAGTCAGGACTTTACACAACGTCTGTTACTCAGAAAAGTACATTAACAAGTTACAAGATAAACTATTTATCTCAAAGTGGAAGATATTAGATGCGATAGTAATGTGTAGTACTACAAATGACACGAGTGATAACGCCTGACAATAATAAACGCGCAAACGTCAATACACAGACCGACAAAATAAGAATAAGCGAAGCAATAAAAAATAAACAAGAATTCACCTGGAGTCTGAGGAGTGCTCATTTTGGGGGATCGATGTCCACTGGACAGTACTCGCGGTGTCACGTTAGAATCTCACGTCTCTCGCGATCGGAGTTAGCGATGAATAAGTTCACGCCTTCAAGGTTAGCTTAGGTTAGGTCACGATGATCGATCCTCGGCGACCTCGCGGGCAGGATTTATCTGGCAACGGAGAAATCGAAGTCGGGAGGGTAGAGACGGCCCGAGTGAGGGATCTCAGCGTGGATTTCTACTCGCGATTCGCGATACCAACGCGATGCCTGCTGTCAATGGTCGAGCTACGGGCGACGAAAAATCCTCCGAATATCGAACGCGCTGGGCGCGTTCGTGTGCACCGTAAAAAGGGAATGTAGGTGATCTGTTATCGCGGCCGTACGCGACGAGAAAGGCGCTCGCGCGACAGACAATTGCCGGAGAATCAACGAGATCCGCGTGCGCGAGCCTGCATTCCCGATACAATTCCCATCGCGATCGCGTCAGCCAAGTAGCGCCGATCGTGCCATTCGCACCGCACCGCCCACCGTCCGTCGTTCGCCGCGAGATATCGGCCACCCCTACGTCATCGCGCGACCTACGACCCGTCGTGCGCGTCGTCCCGCAGCCCGCTCTGGTGACTGTCTACCTGTCACTGTCCACCTGCCCGTCCGTCCTCGCGTTCCAACTGTCAATCGCGCGTCGTCGTCCCGCGTGCGCGGCCGATGAGCGACGGCTTCGAATCGATCTTCCCTCCCCGCCGCGCAGGTTGGCAGGGGGGAAAAAAAAAAGAGGTACGGGAGAATATCTGTTTTCGCCGCGGAGAGGAGGTCTGCCGCGACCGCGATCCGGTCGACCCGGGGAAGAGAACCGAGCCGATCCACAACGAGATGACCACCACTGACCACCGAACTCGCCCAGCTCGCGACGACCGCTCGTGCAACTACTCTACGCGCACGTCACTTTCACGAACGCTCGGCCGCCCTCGGGACTCCTCGGCGAGAATCGATATCCCGCCTCCCCTCCGAGACTGATTCCTGTCCGATCCGCGACTGAAGATCGTTTGCGCAAGAGAGAAAGAGACAGAGGAGAGAGAGAGGAGTTCGGGCGGTGAATATACCCCCTTGAACACAAGTACGTGTTGCCGGAAGTGCGGCTTCGTCGTTGAGAATGAGATTTAATTGCGCACGGCGGGACGGTGATCGCGGCACTCTCGGCAGTCTCGGCCAGCCGCAACGAATGAACGAATGTCAGGTCAGACCGCTCTCCGTCTAGAGCGCATCGTTTCAGATCACATATAACCGCAAAACGGTGGTTCGATGTCAATACAGTTGAACAATCACGGCAAGAGACAAAATTTTACAAATTACGTAAAAACGGTAAATCGTATATTAGTATATAGAAGCATCTATGGTTACGCTTAAATATGCTTTGTGTGCACTTTTAACAATAAGAAGTATATTTTCTATAAATCTACAATATACAGTTTCGAACCGTTTTTATTCATCTTGTGAAATTCTGCACGTTTGCCGTGACCGCGGCTGCAGCTAACTGTATTGACGTCGAACCCCACCTTTTCGCGGTTTACGCACGACAGATACGCGCTATCAGGGATTTAATTGTCATTGCTCTTCCGAGAGGTGGGCGAATGAAATCAGATGTTTTTGTTTTTGGACGCGGTCGCGGGATTTAAATCCAGATCCTCCGGCGTGCAGAGCAGACGCACGTACTCGTCTCTATGCCACGATCGCCACAAATGTGAATTATGTGGTGTCGACGTTAATCGACAAATCCGAGCCTTAATTTCTGCCGCGCGGACGAAAGATAAATAATCGAATTATGCATCGATGAAGTATATATCGAAATGTCAGGCGCGCTTCTTCAGACGGGATCACAGAGTAATTAACTGCGCTCGACGCGGCCGAGCTTGCACACATCGCGAGCGATATGCGCGATTCGAATTATGTATACCGAATATTACGAGTGGAAGAAGGGATGCCCCGACGGGACACGCGTCCTTGGCGATAATAGATATTCTTCCACGCGTACATTATGCATTACGTGGCGTACGTACGAGCTGAAAATTGCGGTGCGCCGGCACAGTCAAGCCGGAAACGCGAGCGTTCGCGAATCGCGGCGCGGATCGGAGCTTCTGACGGTGCCGCCGGACGCGAGGCTCCCGCGATTTTTGCAGCGCGAGATCTTTTTTTTTCCTCCCGAAATAATGACCGCCTGCTTCGCCTCCCTTCCTCCTCCCGTCCAGCGTCTTGAGAGAATCTCTCGTCTCTCTCTCTCTCTCTCTCTCTCTCTCTCTCTCCTTCCACGTGCCTTTCCCGATGACACAGATAGCCCTCGCTATCGTGATTCTTTTTAACCGCGGTCTCCCGGACAAAAAAGTGTCGAATCGATAAGAGCACCGTTCGATCGTTGCATCAGGATTCGTTTCTCGCCAATAAAACTCGGCCGGGCGAGAGAGAGAGAGAGAGAGAGAGGGACCCGTCTAACGTACCATATTAAACGCGATCACGGCACATCGTTAGAAACGCTTGATTGAAGCGTTTCGCAATCGCGCGCGGCGCGGCGCGGCGGCCTTAACTCGTCGTGTGTCGACGACATTGGCGTCTTCGCCGGTTTTAGAGGTCGTACACGAGCTCCTCGGTCGTCTGGAATTTGGAGAGAGCTCGGAAGGACCACAAGGTATCGCCAATTAAGGCGGAACGCGGGACATCAATTTTCGAGATAATCCTGTCCTTGTTACACTCGTGCGCGCACGCGGGTTCGTTAGTGCCTGGGACACACTTGACAGCTGATGTTGCGCGCGTATCGGAGCATTTTCGGGGCCGCACGCTTCGCATCTAAATATCCGCGCGACTGTTCGATCATTATTTCATTTATTCTCAATTATTTATTCTCAACGATATAATTAGAAATTATTTACTAAATTACTATCTTTAATCTTATTATATTTCATATGTATATTATTTCAATATACATTTTGACACAATTGTTATATAATTGTTATCATTACGAGACTTTATTGTTAGTTACTGTATCGAATAAATTAACTGCAACGGGAAAAATCCAACGATCAAGACGCGCGATAGTTATATAGATGTCAAGCACGCGACCCGAACGTGCCCCGATACGCGTATAAGTTCAGGGTCGTTTTTTTTACGTCGGGGAAACTTATATTCAACATCTCGATCGATCTCTGAATTGATCTCTTGGAATCAATTGTACCGTCTAATTTAATCCCTTGTATTATTCCACTTCGGTCCGCGTTTCTTTCAATTTGTCAGACCACGATCGCTTTATATTCTTCGCTCCGACAAAGACAAATTTATTGCGGCGTCGCGTCCCTCGTGGCGCAAACCTCGCATTGTACACCACGGCATCGGATAAGAGGAAATAATAATACACACAAAAAAAAGTATGCGTGGGGTCGCAAAGTGCACGGGATTTTATCGCGCCGCGCGCGAATTGACATGTACATGTAGTTTATACAAAACTATATATCGCCAACGGATTGATGAAACGGAAACTGCTTAATGAATGCGAGCGATAACGATGGCTTACCGCGATATCTATGTATGCTCGCCGCGAGCTATATACATATGTTATTGCGACATTCTTCCTGTTACAAAAACGAACAGTTGTAAAAGCTGGAGCGTTTCTTTTATTAAATCGGCCACATTACGCGCTCTTTCGCGATCTCCGATTTGATTAGAGTGCGTCGAAGGACGTGTAATATCGCGCGCATCAAACATCACGATCAAACTTCGCTGTTCGATCACGCCTCGCTTCTGTTCACGGAACCTACATTACTTTGCATCGCTTGAATTTTGTGTAATTTATGTAATGCAATACAATAAGAATTTGATCAAATTTCCTCATTAACTCTTCGAGCTTTCGAGTGAATCTTTTTTCGGACGGACATCAATTATAAAAATTAATCGCCAGTCAAGTTTTAATTGTGATTTATATAATTAATCATCTTAAGAGCTTATTGTTGGTGTTGCGTATGAACTGTACACCGTACGGCTAAAACAATCCGATAAGATAATTAATTTGTTACGATTATAGCAATGAGAAAAGCAGATAATATTTCCCACATAGCAGAGTTTTTTTTTGTATCTCGACATGCATGAGGGATACCGAAGCCGTTTCATTATTATTATTTAATTTCCATTCCGTATACATGCATATCATGCGTATCTGTTTAGAAAACACTACGAGCTTGTTTTGTGAACGTTACGCACGCAACGCGCGGTGAAGTCGACCGCGATACAGCACGTGTCGCGTTTGCGCACGTGGAGTAATATCGCGATAAGCAGGTAGACGTTTAAATCGTGACCGCAATTTCTTAATCGCGAGCGAGAGCCGTATATACTCTTATTTGTCATTATACGGGTGCGCGAACCGCGCGTTTAAATTAATCAGAGTTCGAATGTTGCGCAGGAATTAGTGTCCCGCGGAACGCGAGCGCAAAACGGCGAAGGAGTTGCGACGGAGCGTATCGATGACGAATGCGAAAGAGAGGCTCGGGGGGTCAATCGAGAGACGGCGGCGCAAAGATAAGCCGGAAGGGTTGTTATCGACGATTCCCACGGACTCGATTGGTATTAACGCGCGACGGCCGCGACGCTGCCGTCGCCGATTCGCCGCGGCGCCGGCGCCAAGGCCGCGTCATGTACTGTTACCATCAGTCACCATCCCTGCTCCTCCCGCTTCCACCCGTTTCCGGGTGTCGGTGTCGCGTGCTCCTCACCCTGCTGACTGCTCACGCCGACCCTGCGTCGCGATAAGCTCCAAGCCAACCTCGCGGCGTCGCGGCGTTTTACGTGGGAGCGTGTGTGCGTGCATGCGTATACGTGTCGTTTGCGTGCGCGTACATTTTTATTACGTGGTGCGTGCATACGTGCGCGCGCGCACACGGAGCGGTACACGTGTCTGTTCCGAGACACGCGTCCGTCCCGCATTTCTTCTTCCCCCCCATCGAAATTTCGCGCGGTCTGATCATCTGATATTCTGATGGCAGAGGAAGGTGGACGGACGAGACGATCGAACGTGCATACGGGTGCGCGAGGTGTACGTCGACGCGTCATCGTCACCGCGACCGCGTGTGCCGCGGCGGCTTCCCTTCGACGAGGGCTATCGATCGGCGAGGGCCAGTGCTGCGGCGAGGACGACCACCGGCCGGCGTAACGTGGTGCGTGATGTCGCGCCGGCACGCCGGAGCCAGCTAGAGGCCAGCCACCACGCCGTGTGAAGGTTGCGGGGAGAGAGAGAGATAGTCACGCCGCTTACGACTACGGCGCGATCGTTCGACCGTGGAAGGCACGCTCGTCGGAGGAGTGAGAGAGAGAGAGACAGGAGAGAGAACGCGGGTAATTACATCATCATGATTTTTCTGAATGGGGAATCGACGGGGATCGTCGGGCGAGCGGCGCCGCCGAGCCGACACCGCTCGCGCGGCGACTCGCGCGTTACACGAGCGTCGAACGACCTCCTCCCCCGCCCTCCCCTTCCATTCCCCTCGTCCTCTATCGCAATCGTTGGATTACTTGGATTGTCAGGCGATAATCCAGCCGACTGAATCGGAGAATTGTTTGATTACAAACCGAATGATCAGAGAGCTGCGCCCGCGGATTAATTGGCGGATCGCGTTAATCGAGCGATTAATTCCGAAATGAGAAAACGCACGCGACGCGTATCGCTTACGTATATTTGTTTCAATTGACGGATGTTGCTCTCTATTGTGTGCACACGATATCGTACAGTATAGGTATACACGGGAGTAATCCGACCTCAAAGATTTTTATTGTAAAAAAAAAGAGAGATACGGAACTTGCGGCGAGTAATGGGAAGGTAAACGTAATTCCGATGCCCACGAGCGAGTGTCGGTCACGCACCCGCGTGTTTGCGTCCCACGTTTGCCGCCAAGGAAATTCTCAGCCCACATTAACATCGCGCAAGTCATTATCCGTCTATTATTAACGTGACTCTTTGTATACTTTTACTTTATCGTCGCTTAACAGAGACGAGACGTCGGAATAAGATTCTATTTCTTTTCAGATGTTAATTTCGGAATTTATACCTGCAGTGGGCCTGCTTGATTCGTCTTCGAAAACGAGAGCTTACGAAAGCTGCTTGAAATTGGTAAATTGAAATTGTATTTGCAACAGTCGTCAAGTCAAGTCGGTCGAAAATGAATCGGAATGGAAAGGACGCGCGAAGAATCCGCTGGAATATTAAATGACGGAAACCGGTGAGATAATATGAGAAGGCGTGTGTTTGCCATTCGCGGGGCAAACAACGAATGTTTATAGATTCGCGCGTCTCTGAATGCGAAACGTAAGACCTGCGTGTACCGCGCGCGAGCAAACGTGGAACGTAAGCGATATTTGACGGTGTACACATACGGTGCGCGACGCGAAGCGGTAACGTCATATTTGCGAAGATATATACGCGACTAGGCGCATATACATACTCACGTTGCACATTTCTGACCTTAAACCCCCTACAACGCGCCAGTTTTGTTCCTTATGTAAGTGCTGACGCCGTGACGCCGCGCGATAACCGCCACGTGACGCGGAATGTATCGTTTGTTTGTTTGCAAATTAGCGGTGCCTTCGCAACAACCTTAATTAATGGAAGACCAGTTTGTAGGTGCGCGCGCGAAACCGTGTGTCCGAGAATGGTCATTAACGAGAAGCTCCCCGCGTGAGAGAATCGGATAAAAAATAAAAAAAGAAAGAATATTCCACCGAAGTGTAGACGCAACGGTGTGGTACTGTTTTAAGGCTCCTTTCTCCTCTGCAAATTACGTTCTCGAAATATTCTTACGTTTATATACAGGAATTTGCCTGTGCAACTTATATTCCTATATATGCAAATACGCAAATACCGGATTTCTCGTGTACACACATCTACTCCTTTTTTTCTCATTTTTCTCTTTTCTTTTTTATTATAAATTTCTTTCTGCAGTCTTTTGTATTATTTCCGCTATAAAATGTAGGTATATTACACGGTTAAATCTACACGGAGAGAATTTTTTTTAAATTTACCCTGCAAATCATGTTAATTATGGGACAATATAGTATTTAGGCAAATTTTACTGTGCACTACAATAAGATTTCGCAGTAAAATTTATTGTAGTGCACAGACTGAGTCGAGTAGTGCACAGTAAAATTTACCTAAATACTATATTGTCTCACAATTAACATGATTTTCAGGGTAAATTTTAAAAGAAAATTCTCTCCGTGATATAGTGTCAAATTTAACTTTAATTAAGTTGCCACTGCTCCTACTTAATAAATAGTTATTTTTAACTAAAACAGTGGAGTCAAATAATTTAAAACAGTTGAAATTTAACCCAAATTTGGGTTTTTTTGTTTTAGATTTAACAGTGTAGTATATTGAAAATTTTGTATGTCAACAGAGAGAGAGAACGTTATCTTACGAGTGCGTGATGAATGGCGATATCTATCTCTCTATAGCGCTCTTCTCTCGCACTCGACCAGATAGATATGATATAGGATAAGTCGGGAGTTATCTCGCGGAAAGAGAAATGTGTCATTGATTCATCTTTCATTCGGTCCATATGCTCTTAAAAGCGGCATGCATGCGGCCGCGTTCAGCTCGAGTGAAAAACCGAGAGAAGCCGGATAGGGGCAAACACCTTTCCCGTCTTCGCGGCGTGGCTACGAGGGGACCGAGAGGGCGAGAGGGCACAAGTTGCAACACGGCGCAGCGTGGCGCCCTTGCAAGGACAGCAGCCTTTTCAATGTATATTCCAGTTCGCAAATTTTTAACTTATTCTCCGTTACGCGTTTACACCGAGCCAGATACGGTCGTTCTCAAAACGCCGCGCTCGCGTGACAACAAACTCGCCTTTTACGATTGCAAATAATTAATTGTGCAATAACTGTGCAATGATTAATTGCGAATAATTGATTTGCAGGAAGCAATTTCGAGTATACGGATCGATTTTTCAAACCGGAAACCGACGTCGGAAGTGGCCGAAATCGAAACCTTCATCGAAAACGAATTGTCTGCTCTTATACCTCGGAAAGACAAATGTCCTATACGGTTTTACATGCGCAGTTTAATGAATATTGGATAATACGAATAAGGTGGAGGAACGATACCGAGTATTTCCTAGAAGGATAACAGAAGGACATCTCGATCCGTCTTGATTCAGCGCGAAGACATCTCTCCGGAACGCGGCTCCCTTCATCGGGCTCGCCTTCAGCAGACAAGGTAACCGTTAAGGCCTGTCCAGTTGGATTTGCATAAAGCGTAGGTACGCAGAAGGAGAAAGGAGCAGCAGCCGCGATCACGCGTCTAAGGAACGCAGTTGGCATCCTTCGTGTTAAGCAAAACTCGACCTAGATCGGCAGATTTTTCTTTCCTTCCTCTTACGCGCCAGAATGCGGATTACGCGGTTATGCAAATCGATCTACGGACAGGTGAACCTTTGCGCGATTCTCGCGGTGGAACGCGACGCATTACGCTTATCGCGAGCGATATATCTCTAATTGGCAAAAAAAAAAGAGAAATAAACAGAAAACGTCGGCAAGCTCGACGGCTGAAAGTTCGCGAGTAGCCGCTGAAACGGACGTTCTTGCATGCAATCGCAAACCGCGCTGCAGTTTGAACAGGTGAACACTCCTTTCTGACTTTGGGGTACGCTGGATATAAATATCAAGAGGTATATTTATATTTGTAACAGGACTTTCACACAGGACTGTCACGTGTACAATTAGAGCGTCAAATTAGAATAATAACGCGACAATGTTAGCTAATAATAATAATGAGGGTAGAACGTTAATTTTTTACTATAAATTCATCATAGTCGCCTTGATTTGTTTTACTGGTTTACGCTATACGTAATATAATTCGCATTGCGTTTATCATTAGGTGTACTCTCTCGTGAGAATCTTCGACAGAGGACCATCAGACTGTTTGCTCATTAGCGGAGCGGCTAATCGCAAAGCGACGACTTCGATCGAGACACCGGAGTCATTCTTTCCCTCTCTGTCTTTCTCTTCTCTCTCCCTTCCTCCCCGTACCATTCGCACTTGCGAGAAACCAGTTGCGATTTTTCACGCGGTGGGAACTAGAAGCCGTTCCTTACTATAAATAGCCTTCGGGTTTCGCACTGGGGCCGACGATGTCGGCCTCCGACACGGCGCGCGGCGGTAGCGGTGGTGGCGCGATGATGACGGCGATAGCGGTGGGCAATGTCTGGGCCGGTATATTGCTAACATGTGGCTAACAGGCCACATTTCTGTCGCGTGCGAATAATCGGCCATCTATCTATCTACTAGCTATAAAGCTTCCTCCTTTTTTGCACGATAAATTGATACTCGTGGAAAAAGAGGGGTGAATCTCGAGAGGAATCGCGATGTATTAATGTATGTATGTATGTGTGTATGCAGGTACACGCGGTATAGAAGCGCGACGAAGGAAACGAAGAGAGCAGAGTGTGCGTGCCGCGATTTGCATCGGAATTTTTATTAGACGAAAAGGAGAACCGCCGTCGCGCTGGGCGCGCCCTAAAACGATCTGCTTAGGACGAAAATACGAGACGACCAAATTTGGAGCGCATAAGATTAGAACGGCCGCAATTATCGAAACGGCTCGTTTCGTGCGCGTAATCCGTATGCGTCCTGTGCGAATGTTGCAACGCGCGACAACCGGAGACATATAGCGGAATGGTATGCGGCTCTCTGTATCCTTTTGCGCGAGAATTTATGCTCGTTGAAAAATATTTTAACGGATTACGCGTCACGCGATACGATTCAGAATGAAATCCGCGAGGGAGGCTTGGCTGGCGAATGCATGTGGCGAATCAGGATTGCTTTAGCTATGTACACCTAGTACTCGAGTCCTCGCGATAACGTAATCTTATCGAGGAAAGCTTCTCTATTACTCAAACAACGTCGCGTTGCGCGACCTTTTATTTTTTCGTCTAGTTTACAATATATTGGTCGTATCTCTTTTGGTTCATAAATTATTATCTAGATGATCCTGCGATGATCGTGCAAAAAAATATCACGATGATAGGAATTACGTAAAACGGGTGAAATTTTGCAGCTCGCGAGCTCGAAGAGGACGCGAAAATGCGACACGTCGTAAAGGCCGCGTTAGACGGAGCGTAGCATTTTTATTGTCGGTTTCCTTGCTCTGTTTCCCTGTAAGTTATGACGTGTCTTATCTCTCACGTCCAAAATAGGACCATTTTCACCGTCGGATCGCGCGAAACGTCGTCCCGAGATGAGGCGCGCGCACGCACGTGACGTGAGTGATTTAAAACCTTTCGTCTCGCGAAGGACATAATCAAAAGCGGAAAAACAGCCCGAATACAAATAGATCTAATTCCGATTATCGGTTTCGCGCTCATTAGCCGCATTCAGTGAAAACAAGCGGGCAGGAACAGGCTTGTAAGGAGTACCTACATCGCCGCAAACGTTACGTACAGCAGCACCCGGGACGGGACCGATCGGTTCGTTCGCTTCTTCTGACTCACGAGGGGGATTCGAATTCGAGTGTGATTGACCCGGGAGAGAGGCCGGTCTTTTCCTTCCTTTTTATTTTGCATCCGTTTTGCCCAGCAAAGATTCGCCGCCGCCGCCGGCGGCAACAGGGGCAACGGGGGAACGTGTCGGGCCACGTCCGATTTTGACAAATCGAGATCCGCCTCTGTAGGGAGAAGAGAGAGACAGACAGAGAGAAAAGAGAGAGAGAAAGAAACGAAAAGGGGAAAAAAAATCGCCCTAAACCTAAACGGAGGTACCGAGTGCACCGAGCCGAATCTAGCCGTCGCGCTGAAACGCGGTCCGGAGAATCTTTGGCGAGCCGAGTCGTATCGAGTCGAGTCGAGTCGAGCCGAGTCCCCGCTGAATCGCGCCTTAGCCGAGGCGACCACGCCGCGCCGGCTAAAGCATGTGGCCAGTTTCCGTCCGTCCTTGATGCGCGCAGGGTTGTGTCTCGTTGACAAGTGCGGAGTCGTATCGTGCGCTGTGCGACAATTGGCCTGTTTGCATTTCGAAAAAGCTGTCTGGCTTCGGAGACGCTGTCCACCTCCACGGTCAGCCGCCGTTGCTGCCGATTACTAATTGTAATTGCAATCCGTGTGGTATTATATATATATGTGTACGCAGATATAGATTAAACGTTCAAGTAATAACGAATGATAATTCGTATGTTTGACTTATGTGATATTGGGACTTTGCGTTAAAAACAAACTCAACTGTGCTTGACCGTTATACTGTCATTGAACACGTGCTTTTCGAAATTTTTCCTGGAGCGTTATATATGTTTGGAAAGTTACTTTAAAGCCGAGATATTAATATGTATTCGCACTTTAGACGAGAAAATCTAATATTAATATATTATATTTGCGAGAATCACCAAAAATATTTATTGATTATATACGTTACTTGTGTGCAAGATTATTACTAATTATGATATTTTCTATTTATGTCACAGAATCACATATAAATCTATAAACTTGAAAGAGAAGTGATTCAATTCATGCGTTGTGCGGAAAGTATAGTTTTACAGAAGAATTTAGTGCGAGTAATTCAACGAACACAGTAAAATGAAAAAAGGAAGAGAAATTGACGATATATAACGATCGGTCGGGGCCAATAATTGCTGATATTATTCGTTTGCCGCCTTTTTTCTTTCAAGTCCTAATCTAAAGACAATTGTTTCAATTGTATCAATGACGATCGTCTGTCCGCGAATCTAATTAATCGGAACCGGAGTCCCGGGTGCATTAAAAGCGCTACGCGCAGTCGTAATGCTCGGTTGGGCTCGGTGTTAAACCTTGCGACTTGTCAAACCTCTCCCTTTCTCTCTCTTTTGCATATCGTTGTTACGCAATACGCGCACGATGCGTGGACAATGTTATAAACAACGTTACTGCTTGCATACGCGCGATTGCTTTCGTATGTCCGAATGGCGAATTATCAATTTTCATCGATAAACTTATTATAGAAAATTATAATTAAACATTGCGCGAAGCAATTGAGAAAGCTCCAATTAAAATTATACATATTACATATAAAAAAATTATATATGCATATAATTTTTCAAGCTTTTATTATTTTTTAAGCGTTTTTAATTTTTTCGCGATTCTTAAAAATGCAAAAAGGAGTAAAATATAAAAAAAAGTATAAATAAGATAATAATAAATAATTAAAAATATAGAAATTGTAAAACAAATATTACATTCTAATTTCTTTTTCAGTTTTACTTGGAAACCGGAAATCTAAGGAAACGCCTGATGTGATTCGGAAATTGGATAAGCGGTTTTGGCTGTCTCTACCATCTTTCACCGGAACGAGCCTTACAGCTAGGAATATCTCGAGGAGCGTGTACGAGTGCCCTCGTGAACCGCGCTATACGCGCCTGTTTCTCGGAGCGCGTTCCGAATGTCACGATGAAAAAATTCTCGTGACACGAGATAATGATGTCAGAATCGATAGAGTATTATTAAAACTCCGAGTATCCGTTGCGAACGAAGTCGTTAATCGCATCGATTAAAATTCAATAGAGGAATATTTTTGTCTACAAGGGTTCTAATAAAAGCTCTCTTTTTTTATTTCTCTCCCCTTCTCGCGCGCGCATTGAGAAATATATCGTAAATACGAAAACGTAGGATACACTCGGGTGAAAAATAATACCGGACGAAAAATGGCGTACGACGACGTTATCCTTCGTATGGGCGAGTTCGGTCGCTACCAGCGCAGGGTCTATCTTCTACTCTGTCTTCCAGCGATATCGTGCGCCTTTCACAAGCTAGCCGGCGTGTTTCTCGGAGCCAAAATGAGCTCGAGGTAAACAGTTCGAGCAAACGTGACGATAATTGCACGGTGGATTACAAGGAATTTACGGTTAAGACCAGAAACTCCTTTGCCTCAGGTGTTTACTTCCTCACGAGCACGCGGAGAACGCCACGTACCATCTGAGCCAGGACATGTTGAACGCGAGCTATCCGTGGGACTACGAGCTTCGAGGGTGGTCCCAGTGCATGAGCCGTGACATTATCGGCCTCGCGAATGGCACGATCATCGAAACAGCGATTGGCAACGGCACCGAAGGGGGAGGCATCAGCACCTGCAAGCAGTATGTGTACGACAGAAGCGTGTACAAAAGTACAACCACTTCCGAGGTATACGGAATAATAATTATTTAGCCGTATCGTCTTTGCGAAAGTCTTTTTATCGTCTCAACAATTTTTGCACGAATGCGAATTCAAGTAGAAATCAAATAATAACATAAACAGAAACAATTTAAACGAACGCGTATACGAATCTCTGTAAGTACATGATAGATGATAAATGTTTTTTTTTTTTTGCAGTGGGACTTGGTCTGCGACAAGGCGTGGCTGAGAGCGACGGGGGATTCGTTGTTCATGGTAGGAGTCATGCTTGGCTCGATGATATTCGGCGGTTTGTCCGATAAATATGGTCGTAGACCAATTTTCTTCCTGTCTTTAGTCATACAGCTGGTCGGCGGTATACTAGTCGCTGTCGCGCCCGAGTTTATTTCCTACGTAATCTTCAGGCTAATTGTCGGCTCAACCACCAGTGGGGTGTTCTTAGTAGCTTATGTCATAGGTAACTGAATTTGATTATTTATAATTTAGTGATGTGTGTGTTTTTGAGAAACTCTAACTAAATCGCGCGAGCGACACATAAATTTAAATTTTTATTTATCTTTTCCAGCTTTGGAGATGGTCGGACCGAAAAAGCGGTTAATAGCCGGTGTCGGTTGCCAATTATTTTTCACTACCGGATACATACTCACCGCAGGTTTCGCGTATTTTATTACCGACTGGAGAATGCTGCAAGTAGCCATCACAGTGCCGAGCATCGCGTTTTTACTTTATTGGTGGTACGACATATAATAGTGTTACAAGTAATTGCGTATAATTCTTGAGTCGTTGCAACTTACAAGGTGATCCGATTCGTGGCAGGTTCATTCCCGAGTCCGCGCGATGGCTTCTGACGAAAGGCCGACTCCAGGAAGCGAAAGATTTGCTGCAACGTGCTTCTCTGGAAAATGGCGTAGAGATGCCGAGTGAGGCTCTGGACACGCTTCTTAATAATAACAGCGAGGATAGTATGCCCGACGCGAAAAAGCCTTCGCTCTTCGATCTGTTCCGTTATCCGAACATGAGGCGGAAGAGCATTCTTCTATTCTTCAACTGGTACTATCAGCTGTTTTATGGATGTTATTTTTTTTTTATTTTTACGTTTGATAGTTCTGCGCTAATTTTGACTTTCTCATTCATACAGGCTCGTCAACAGCGGCACGTACTACGGATTGTCTTGGCACGCGTCCAATCTTGGCGGTAACGACTACGTTAATTTTGTAATATCCGGGGTGGTGGAAGTACCGGCATACACGTTCCTGATTTTCACCCTGAATCGCTGGGGCAGGAAGATCATTCTTTGCGGCTGTATGATGTTATCCGGATTAGCGTTACTCGGCACATTGTTCGTTCCTGCCAGTAAGTATAAATTAACAATTTCACTTGATCATTCAATGGCCATTTTATGTCCTCTTACATGCGTGCTCGAGTAAAACTGTCTTTGCAGTTTGCGAAACGACATATAGAGTGAATTTAACATTTACGTTGAACTGAATTTGAAAAGCTGTTTATCCTAATAATATGTATTGCCAATAAATGAACTTGTTTGTTTTCAGATATGCCTTGGTTAATCGTTTGTTTAGCAATGATAGGAAAACTTGCTATCACCTCCTCGTACGGTGCAATTTACGTATTTACTGCCGAACAATTTCCGACTGTCATTCGAAACGTCGGCCTAGGTGCGAGCTCCACCTTCGCTCGAATTGGCGGAGTTATCGCACCATACGTCAATCATCTGGTACGTTGTATTTATCACGCTTTTTTTCTCGATATCTAAGAAGCATAGAAACTTCTGAGCATGTCAACGTCCGATTACCAGAGATTACGTGAAGCAAACAATTTAGGATATTATCTATAATTCCAGTCGGAGATATGGATGCCATTGCCACTTGTTATATTCGGATCTTCCGCCTTATTCGGTGGATTAATGTCTCTTCTTCTTCCGGAGACGCTGAACAAAAAACTTCCTGAATCGATTCAAGACGGCGAGCTCTTTGGAATGTAAGTTTTTTCTCGATCTGTCTATTCCGTGCAGCTTGTCACTAGCTTTAACTACATAAAAATGATAATGGAAATTTTTTTTTAGGAAACAGAAGAAGAAGAAGAAAAAACAACAGCTGATGCTCGAACAACTGAATGACGTAGAAATAATAAAACCGTTAAAGGCACAGGAGAAGCAGAACGGTGTACATGAGAAACAAAACGGATGACACTAATTTGCGAATATCAACGTCGGTATTGCACTCAAAATATGTACCCGATTCCCGTCTGACCATACTTTAGATGTCTGCCGCGTGCAGTACACACGCTTATCGGGAACTTGGCGTAACGCGATGCTCATCGAATTTCGATCTGAACTTCTAATACCTACAATCGATTAACATCTATTCGTCCTTGGTCGAGCCGTCGTGTCTCAAGTGAGTCGGATTGGACATAAAACAATTATTTATACAGAAATAAAAGTTAATCAACCGCCGCAAGAAACGTACGTATATTTTGCGTTTTAATACTTTGAAACTAGGTATAACGATTTATTTAGCTGTCACCATAACGTGTTGCGTAGAACTATAAGAATATTCTGCCAACAAACATCACTACTCAAACATCTAAACGTCCTTTATAAAGAATGACTACGTATTATATATGAAACATTGCAATTTATCAATATAAAAACTTTTGCTAGTATTCCTCCTTTCTGCTTATCTCCTTTACTCCATCGACAGCTGATTAAACATCGCTTATCAATAGCGATTGTTTTGACATCAGTAGTGAGCACTAATAAAAGAAATTCTTATTACTGTGAACTTAATTTTTAACTCGGAGAATTCAATTGTGAAAATAACAAGTTTTTTTTTTAATACGATATGTGCGTCATTCACTGATGCACCTGAATACATAATATGATCTTTTTTTACTTAAGACGAGATATAAAGAGTATACAAATATTGTGAAAATATGAAACAATTTCGTTACTTAATATGCTTTTTTATTTATTGGTATATTTTATTCACTGATATACGTAGAATTTGCAGTATGCGTAAAAGCAATCACTTCCAGATGTGACATTTTCTTTCGGGATTCATCGCACTGCCAACCGGGCAATTATAAGCTTTGGCGAAGTCTTGTGAATTTGAAACGCTTCCTATCACTCTCAACCGTCCGGTGCTATGTACGTCAGACTTGGCGCTTTTTATGATGTCTTTATCGATTTCGCAGCATAACTGCAAACGTTACCGTAATACATTACAGCAAACAAATATTTATTTTAATTATTATTTTAATAATTTAATTACAGCTCTGAATTCACTATCTATCTATTATATGATAATTACGTTGGCAAAGGATAGGAAGAAAAGTTGGTCGCTAGTTAGATCCTCCAGGCCTGGCAATACGGTATCTGATTTTCCGCATTCCCTTTCTCTCCTTTGATACGCTCTAAACGCTGCCTCTATTCCCATTGTATCCGCGATGTTCTCTCTCGCCGTTTGATTGCCATAGTTCTGCAATGTTTGTAAATAAGTTCAATCAAACATTTTAATGGCCGACAGAAAAAATAATGATAATGTAAATTAATCAAGTGCAAAATAGATATAATGTACCTTTACTTTATAATTCGATTCCTTGTCAACGGGGTAATTATTAAACTGTTCTACAAAACATTCTGCCCTTTTGCCATATACATCGGACATTGCGGATAACCATTCGACAAATTCTCCGTTCTTATCGTACAAATGGCCTAAATATTACTATTCTTTTGATTTTTTGTCATTTTTATCTTTTTAAATATTTTCAAAAACATTCAAATACTTTTTGGATTAAAATGATAGATACTATATTATTATAACAATTAAATATTATAAAATCCATTTAGTAAATTAAATAGTTGATAGACTAATAGCGAATATTATTTCATAACGTTACCTCTGCTATCGAATCCGTGATTAACTTCGTGACCCATGATTGTCCCAATAATACCATAATTAATAGCTCTAGAATAAACAATATTTAGAAAAAAATTTATTAAGAAGTATATAAAATTTTTAGAGCTAATATGATTATAAGTAATTGTTCTTATCGCTATACAAATCGCGTTAATATTTTTTATCAAAATTATTTACCGCGGACGATCATAAGCGAACATTGGACTCTGGAAATCCGCTGCCGAGAAGGCTACAATCAAACAAGAGATTAATGTTAACAAGAGCTCAATGATGATGTAAATAATTACAAATTCGTGTTTAATTGATAAAAAATTATGTGCTACGGACCTGCTAAATTAAATTTTGCTGAGAAAAAAGCATTTACCATTAGAGGACTCATCATCATCCTGTAACACGGAATATGTTATATAAATTCACTTTGCAAAATTAAAAAATAATGCTGAAACTATGCAAATGCGTTATCTTACATGTTATCTTCTTTATCTTCTTTTAATAACTTTCGTAGTCTTTTCCATTTGTTGTATCTCTCATAGCTCATTGTATTTTCGTAAAACGAATTGCCAATAATTAGCTTTAATAGAATAAAACAGTTTAAATCGAATAGTCAGTGTTAATTAATAAATTTTGAGAAACTTACTCCTTGAAAATATCGTTTAACGATAGTGTCATTTCTATACCAGTCTGGATATCCGATAAATTTATTCATATTCACTAATTTTGCTAAAACAAAATCATTAGTATCCTCATCCATCCAATCTGACTCTTTAATCTGATATTCGACTTCCTTTTGTATATCGTCCATCATGTCGGATGCCTGCAACAGGAATAAGTTAATCAATTTAGCAAACTTATAAGATAGATCACGTGACTTCTATAGACGATAGACAAAATAGGACTTTTAAATAATCGACACAAAGTACTTACGGTTGTCGTGATATCATCAGAGAAATGATTTCTCACATACTCGTACGCTAGCATATTGTTCATCTCTACTTGCCGTGTGCATTTCCTCGCTCTGTGTGATAACGATTCATTTTAAATTTGATATTGGTATAATTTAAAACTGACTCGATTTTGATTCACGCGTTAAAAGTGTCAAGCTGACTGCTTCGTATTAAGAATAAAAATATATAATATAGGAACAAATGATTGTTTTTCTATGAATTAAAGAACGCAATAATTACGCTAATAATTATGTAAGAAACAATTATAAGCACCTATTTAAAGAGAATTCATCATCATCATTCTTTTGTTTTTCCCATGCATTGTACAATTTTCTCATTTCACTTGTAGTAGTTGTTATTATTCTGCTCAAAAAGTTCCAATGTATATAGTTTACTGAAACATATTTCGTGTAAGCGCTTTTATCAAAATTTTTTTAATTATTATCGCAGCTTTTTTTTTT